CACCCTGTTATTTTGTGGCATTCCACTAACAAAACATTTGTATAAAATTTGCTAGAAGAAATATCTTGTTACATACTGTTGTAACATCCAACTTCATTTAGCAAAACACTAAAAGTAACTCCATGCAAGTTAAAGGAAGGTCAAATGAAAATTTCTGTTGTTATTTTGTTATGTAAAGGGAAGATTGACTTTATTTATGCTTTAAGTTGCACTCTGGGTTGTATCCTAAGAGACTGGGGTTTAGTTTGTTTTGCCATCCATCCTGTACACTTCAAAAAATTTTTCATCATCCTACCTATAAAGCTATCAGAGCCATCATTTTACTAATTCTTTCCACAGTACAAATTGATAAAACACTTTATGATTACATTTGAACTAAGAAGTGGCCTATGTCTAATATAGAGCTTAGTGTAGTCTACTGATAAAAAGTTACTTGGTAAACAGTTTCCTTATATGGAACATGGCACAATCACGTAAATGTAAAAACTGGGTAAAACTGATAAATTCATTTAGGTGCTACACACTTACAAGAAATAATGAGTATTACTAAAGTAAAAACAATGTGAAAGAGTTCAGAATTTACCATTTAGAATCAATTTGCTTCTAAGAGGCAGACACCCCTTTTCTTCAATGGTGAATCAACATTATTCTAAAACATATATGGTAAAAAATGAGAAGTGAATGTAGCTTTTTCTCTCCAAGATACTTTTCAATTATGTATTAAAACTACTAAAGAAACTGATCTAGGGTTTTTGCTTTTTAAAGAACTCATCTATTAAAGTTCTGACTCATTTTATTAAAACCATAGAAGCAATATCACATAAGTGGTATTAAACATAGCAACTGTTTTAGAAATAAAATGAGGAAGTTATTTCATGAGGATCTTGAAGAAATATGCCTCATACATGCTAAAAAAATTCTAAAACTCATAAAAAGTAGGTACTAATTTATTGGATTTTAATCACATTGTAAGAATTGCTTAAAATAAGGTACAAAGCATTTAAGCACTCAAAATGAATATATATACCTTCCAAGAACACTATGAATGCTTACCTGCTCTCTGAAGTTTAACAGAAAAAAAAATATTTTGAGAGCAAAACATTAAATTAGAGAAAATTGCCATTTTTATTTTGAAAAAAATGTAATAAATATTTCTAATAATTTTCAAATCAAAGAACTATATTTAAAATAAAACCCAGCAATAGCAGTCACATGAATGACGTTCAAAGTCTAAAGCTTTGAATTAAAAATCCTTAAAGTATAGTATTATGCAGAGATTTTGTTATATTAGTCTATTTTAATAAAGTACAGTAATAATGTCCTAGAACGGCCATTTTCCCACCTAAGAATATAAATATTGTTAATATAAAATTTATTTTTCAGTTAAAAGAAAAAAAATAAAGATTTAACCAATACATCTGTGGAATACAATTAAGAAATCTCTTTACATGAAATTGCAGGGCCCATTCTTGTTTTCAGATGCCTAACATAGTGCCTAGCAGGAGATACTCTATAGATATTTAATTAATTTCTAAGCACAATCTATTTTCACATACATTCAAACTCCAGCAAAGTTTACAAAGATACGTAATTGGATATAGGCTTTCTGGCTGACTTCATGTGGTCCCACTGATGACTAGGTGTAAATCTTCATATCCGTAGAAATTTGGAAAGCTGATAATTGTCTGGGTAAGGACCAAATATCAAAGTCAAGGAAACATGGCACCTAAGTAACAAATGCTTTTATAGAGCTGGTAAAAGCAGCCTCATCACTCCAATACCCTATGATATCAATTGTTCACTAAAATGAAACAAGTGCATCCTGAACAAATAAATGTTTAATCAAGTCTATAAGTAATTGCTTATTCAAAATAAGCCACTTCTGTCAAATACTTTCCTGATGAGAATTAGAAGGAAATATGTTTTTAATTCTTACTACAAGTACCACATTTTTAACAACATTTAATTTTGCTGTTAATTAGAAAATGTGAGAGCCACAGCAAACCAAGAAAAAGAAAATTCAAAAAAAAAAAAAAAAAAAAAAAAAAACCTTTCAAGGTAATGATAATTATACCAGGAAGGAGGGAGAAAAGGGGAAAGGAAATTAATCTCACACATGTTGAGTGAAGAAAAAAAAATATACCTATTTTTTTAAATTAATATGTATTAGATGGCCCTACTATATACCATGTTTGATATGAATGAGCTGCATCATGTTCTAATCAGATGAAAAGTTTAGTCCTTAAGTGGTTCATTAAATCAAACCCACAGTGAATATTTATAATTCTAATTGTTGTTTTTAATAGGGGTTCTCAATATAAGAGTAAGAAATCTATTTACTGAGCTGATTAATTGGAGTTTGGAAGGGGGATAGTATTGGAGAAAGCCAAAATGATTCTGAAAAATAATACACAAGGAGTGAAATTAGTACCTCTTTTATGGGGCAACAACAAATTATTGCTTTATAAATAGGCAAATCATAGCTCTGATGCTATACACCTTCATTTATTGAAAAGAACTAGTCTAGACAGTTATGATAGCTGCTTGCTTTTAATCCCAGGACAAAGAAGGCAGAGGCAGGTGGATCTCCATGAGTTAAACTAGCCTGGTCTAGATATGGATCTCCAGATCATAGACTCTGTCTTGGAAAAAGTCTCTGTATAACTTTGAACTATATACGCAGAATTGTGCATGAAAGTTCATTTCTAACAAAAACAAAACAAAAATCTTGGAATCATGAGTAAATTCTTCAGGCTTTCTAAATATCACAGCATGGAAAATGAAGTTATATAATGTGACCTCTGAGGTATTATCTACTTGAAAAATTATCCTCCTAAAATATCAACAGTATTTAACATTTAGAATATAAGCATACTAAAAATATAATAAAATATTTTAAAGTCATAAGTTTTTATCTCATTTACAAAAATATAGTCTTCTATCCATACTAGGGATTAAGTAGGAAATAAGAGAATAGGAATAATTTCAAAGGAAAAACAAACAGATGGGTATGGTAGCACATGCCTGTACTTCCACCACTCAAAAGGCTAAGGAAAGATGATCATGAGTTCAAGACCAGACTCAATTATATACCAAGACTCTGTCTCAAAAAAAGAGGAAACACAAACTAAACACAGGCATTAAATTCAAGTATGAATTTTTACTCAGCTGCCTACTGGACAACTACTACCCCAATTGTCTATACAAGTTATGTACTTGATATTGGTTCCTTTAATAAGTTCTACATTCTATCTATTATACTATGACAGCTAAGTTTTCAAAATGACAGATACACTTAGGTAGACCAGTATTAGTAGTATTTATGATGGGAGAAAACTTGAAATTAGCACAGATTTCTACTTAAGTGCAGCAATCACATCTTAGAGAAAGGCTTAAAAAAAAATGTTCAAATTTGTAACAGGAATGAAAGAAACAGGACCATATTGTTTACTGCTACACAGTACCCCACTAGGTGTGAATGTCTACATTTACACACAGTTGGTAATTAAATTTTTACTGAACAAGTTTCTACATATGCAATGCTTTTTGGTCACTAAAATATGAGCATATCATGTTGTGGATTTACCATCAAGAAAACAAAATAAAACACAAAGGACCTTCAGTTTGTAAGACTATAAGATAATGTCAAATATCTTTACAGATTTATTTCTTCAAGCTGATCTAATTCCTGTTCTCTATTGACATAAATTTTGGAATCAGAGAAACCAATGCAGTTTTTAAAAGGGGAGAGAGAAAGATATACAGTGAGAATATGAATGTGGGTATCCATTTTCAAAAAACACTTCCTAATGCAAGCTATAAATGAGGCCTACAACAGAAACATATTTTTAGTGATTGTGAGAGAAAATATAGCACTATATTTTGAAATATAATAGATAAATATAAATAAAATGTAGCACTATAAAATGAAGCCACTAACAATAAACCAAGTAAGAATACAGAAGGCATTTTTTTATCGAAACTGTTATTCTATAAGCCTAAATCTAGATTTACCTTTCTATTTGTTCCCAATTATAACATACTAGCTACAACTTAATGATTTCTTTAACTCATGAAAGTGTATTTTTGAAATTTATTTCCTTTCACATGCTATGAACAATATTTCACTGCCTCTAGATGAAAAACTCATCTCAATTTACAACAGTAAATAAATAATTCAGTTAAAACTGAAAGTGGTACCAATCCAGCAAAATATTGATGGGGAGGGTTGGCCTTCTATGCAGCAAGAACAACATAAAGTTTTCAATGGGGATTACTTGTTCAGACAAGTTACAAGGATTAGAGTGGAAAAAAAGAACAGTTATGAAATAGCAAATATTTTCATGTTATGGAAAATACCAGAAACGTATGTAGGGAAAGATAATACCAGTGGCATTTAAACTTTAAGGATTTTAAGCTTTGAACTTTATATATTCAAACATGAAACAAATATTTTACAAAAAAGATGCAAGTGTAAAACCCAACCAAATGACTTATGAAAATTTGAAATTTGCTATGCAATTCAGACAAAATAAAAAATGGAGAAACTAAACACCTAACATCAAAACCAGTCAAGTCTTCCAACACTAAAGTCAATATCCAAGCCACAGACAGAAGCAAAAGACAGAAACACTCAGGTCTACAAATGGAAAAGCAGTTTCAACACAATTTAGATCCCGACATTTTCCCACTCAGAAACAAATGCAGGCAGCTTTTCCTGGGGAAGGAAAAAAAAGCTCTCCAAACGTAATTTTTTAAGTGACATCTAGAAAGTATGCCTCTTTCTGTCTCTTTCCCAGGCGCCTCATTGGAGGAAGGAGGGGGTTGTTTTTGTAGTCTCCCCCACTGAAGCAAGGCACAATCAGATGTTAGCTGGAGAAACCACTTTTGACAACAGCAAACGAAAATAAAAGTGTCCTTCCTTCCCTGACAGGGTGGACACCCCACCTCACACACCCCTCCTTCACTCACCCCCAGCACCACCCCCTCCTCACCCCAGAGCTCCACTGCGTATGAGGTTTGATGCTACTGCTGCCCGGAGTGAAAGTCAGAGCCAGAGGAAGGCAATGGAGCCCCCACAGACACACTTACCTTTCCTGCCCCCCACTTTTGAGTGCCTTCCCTGGAGCTGTGGAGGATGACACAAAGGGTAATAAAGGGGGGGAGTGGAGGAGGAGGAGGCAAAGGAGGAGGAGGAGAGCTGGGGAAGTGGCTGCTCCCGGTGTAGGGAGATGTCTCCAGCCAGGGCCAAGCAGCAGCAGCAACAGCAGCAGCAGCAGCAGCAGCAGCAACAGCAGCAGCAGCAAAGGGTCTGTGTTGCTAAGAGGCTTTTGGTCTCTTCTTTCTCTCCTCCTCTCACGGCCACAGAGAAGGAGGGTGGAAGGGGCTCTGGAAGCAGGCGAGTAGAGGGCTGAGGGGGGTAGGAGTCGTGGATGGGGGTTTTCTAAGAAGAAGAAACTCCTCTCCTGTCTCTCTGGCTCAATCCCCCACTCAGGGCTCGGAGCTGGAGGGTGGGGGAGGAACTCAGCCGCCTTCCCCCCACCCCCCTCAATTCAAGGTTGAAGTGGGGTAAAATTAGTGTCCTGTCCCTTTAAAAATAGAAATAAAAGGTGCCCCCCCTCTGCCACTGCCTCTCTCTTCATCATCAGCTGCTGCTGCTGCTGGGGTCTCTCTGCTTGGGGGGGAGGGGGGGCTCGGGTAGAAGAGACGGGAGGCACTCACTGCGCATGTCCCTTTCTGACGGGAGGCTGGTTGGTGGAAGGCAGGAGGAGGGGGAGGGGAGGAAATGAGATGTTTTCCCAGAAGGCTCCAAGGCGCTGTCGACCCGGAAGACATTGTAGCAGGGGGTAGAGGGGCGGGGGCGGGAAGAGGGAGGAAGTTGCTACTCTCTAACACCCGCAGCCGCCTCCTCCCTCCTTAGGGAAAGTGGAGGGACGGAAGTAGGCGTGGACCGAGGGGGAAGGTAGGTCACGTGCCGGGGCGGGGCGTGGCCGAGGAGGCGGTGGGAGCGCTGCGCATGCTGGGAGAGTCTGGGTGCGCTGTGCGGGCACGGCAGGTGAAGCGGAGCGGATAAGGGGGTGAGCATCCTGTGCCCTCGTAGTCGGCGGCGGCCGGCTCTGCCCCGGTGTAGCCAGGCATTACTGCGAGAGGTAAGGGTGGTCTCTGAGGCACGGTTAGGGCGGCAGTGGCCACTGGCGGGCGGGAAGAGCAAACATTTCAGCCCGAAGAGACCGGGGAAGAGGTAGCCTTGTGTAGGCCGGGCGGGCCTAGAGCAGGACTACCTCAGGCTCTTGGCTTCCTGGCCATGCTGTGGAGGAAGCCCTCAGCAGGGCAGAGATTTCTGCAGGGACTAATTGCAGAAGGCTCCCGGGGTGAGGTACGTGATTGGCCAGTGTGGAGAGAAAATCGGGTTCTCTGCAGGTGACCAGCCACTTCACTCCTGCTCCAGAGCCTGTGACCCAGCAGCAAAAGCCAAACAGGATGTGTGAATTTTGGTCATCTTCCACGGTAGCCTTGCATTCCTCCCTTTTGTTTTCCTTACGATTTTGGAGAGGCCGTAGGCAAGGTTGACGTGAAGGCTCCCTGAGCGCTTTGCCTGAATGCTGCCACACAAAAGACTGCACGTTCTGAGGATGCGTGGAATTATATAGTCCTTCATAGAGAGTTTTTTTTTTTTTTTAACTTAAATAGAGACACGTCAAAATTTTCTTCTCTCGCAGAGTAGAAGAGAAAGCTTTTTATCTGGGTCTTTTGGGCTCTTGTTGGTGTGTGTGTGTGTGCGCGCGCACATGTCTGTGAAATAACGGTTTCTTTTCCACCTACACAGTTTTTACTATTAAAATCATTAGTTTTCATTGCTTTGATCCAAATCGTTTAATAAGATTTTTTTAAGAATCCGAAGGTCCCCAATTTATTGTTAGTATTATTAATTTTAGTTTTCAGCAGAATTCACAGTCATTAAAAGTTATTTTTACTAATTTTACTTGCTGCAAGACCATACAGTGTACCATATTTATGTATCCATTATCCTGGACTTACCTTTTCTTTGTGAGAAGGAGGAAATTATGTCACATGGACTCAAAACAAAACCCCAGTGCCCTAAACTTTTCTAGTAAACCAAGTCTTAATCTTATAATGGAAAAAAAAATACATAGCAAGAAAACTAATATGACCTAAATAGAACTTTTAAATCCTGTTTCATGCTATTTTACTGTGATGAGGGGAGGAAGAATTCTTTGTCATGCTTTAGAGTTCTTGTGGATGGATTCTGATATCAATATACCATTGTCTTTGTACAAACATAGAATGAACTGTTAGTAATTACCTCCTGAAAATTGAAGCCTTGACTTTTATTTTCATGTATTTATAAATTAACTTGTTGTCTTTGACAGGAAGTCCAGGTTCTAGACCTTTTTTGAATGTGTTTCTGCTGACTTACAGTGTTTTGTTATTTCTTGGGTATCTGTACCAGCTATGGCCTTTGGGAAATTACAGGAATATGTTGTGGGATAATCTTTTTGTATACTGTAAAGATGTGTCTTTGCCTAGGTGCCTTCTGATTGGTTTAGTAAAGAGCTGGACAGCCAGTAGCTATGCTGGAGAGGATAGGCAAGATTTCTAGGGAAAGAAAGGAAGAGGAGATAAGTCTAGACTCTGGGACACCAATGCCACCAATGTGGCAGAACATAGATGAATAGAAGCAGTTTAATTTGAGTTATAAGAGCTAATTGGAGTCAAGCCTAAGCTAAATGGCAAACTTTCATAATTAATAAGTCTTTGGGTTATTGTTTGCAGGCTGGTGGTCCCCATGAAAAGGTACTGTTACAAGATTATGTAAGGTACAGGATAATGGTATTTTTGAGACATCACACTTTTCTAGGAAAGATTCCTAGGGTTGTTAGTTATAAATTACTTTGGAATTTCCCACTATATACATAACATTTTTTAGCAGGACTTAAAATTATGTTCAAATCTTGCCATTTTCCCATGCCTTGATTAGGTTGTCCTTAATTTCTCAGCTTAAGCGGTATGATTGTCTGAGTAACTCACCTTTGCTTGGTTGGCATTGAGCTCTGATGTTTTATCATAATCCATCAAAGCCTCAAGTGAGTCAGCTTTTTTAGTGACCACATCTTTTGTATATGTCATAAGCATAACAATGACTAGATGTGGGCCTTGTTTCTGATTTACCTCTTTAGATTTAGGCATGCAATTTCAAATGGCTTTATTCCTTTTATTGTCATGTGTGTGCATGTTTTGCCTCTGTAAGATGATCTATCCAGTTTGCCTTTACCATACCTTTAACTCTCATGAACTTTTTGTTGTTGTATTAAGTGGTAGAAGTTCTTGATTCTTCTGAATGTGTGGGAAGGATACATTGACAAGGAGCAGTTGCTTAGAACTAGACAAGTGATACTTAGAAATTATCCATCCACGGAACAGCCATCCAAAAATAAGATATCATTAAGTATGTTCACTGATTTTCAGTTTCCCTTTTAGCATTCTTAACCACCTATGTCAGTAAAATATAAAATTAGTTTGGCTTTTTTTAGCATATGTAAACAGATTGTATGTTGTATAGCAACTTTTTTCTCATGCTGCCAAGATTTAACTTCATTGACACATTAAACTATAAGCTATATTTCCATTAACAAATACTAATACCTCATATCACATATAGTAAAAACATGGAAATGGTTGGTATATTTGAATTAAAAAGCTAAATCTACATCAGCATTAATAGTAATTATAAAATTGAAAAACAATGTTATTTAAAGCTTAATACCCTAAGGGTTAGCCAAAGCAACTGAAAAATGTTCTGAGACAGGAAATAAAGGCTGTGATACCCACCCCACCCTATATCATAACCTTACTGGACTAAGCAAAGTGCCAAGACAAGATCAAAAAATTTTAGCCTCCCTGTAACAGAGTTGTGAGGCAATTTTAAATATAAACCATGTAGAAGTATGTCATCTTTTTTTTTTTTTTTTTTTTTTTTTTTGTCTGTTTTGCAAGATTTTCCTATGTAGTCCCAGGCTGTCATAGCATTCCCCATGTAGCCTAGGCTGCCTTTGAGTTTACCATGATTCTCTTGACTCAGATTCTGAAATACAGACTTACAGTTTGGGTTGCCACAAGTAGTGGTTTTTACCTTTGAAAGTTTTACCTTAAAAAGGAAACAAACAGCTTAAAAATATTTTGTAGTTTTAATAGCTTGTCTTCTTGTACCATAGAGGCAAATTTAATTTCAGAAGTAAACTAATGTGTAAGTTAAGTTAATTGTAAAGTTATAACCAGGAGTAAAGTTGCTACATCCCTGCTTGTAAACCCTGTCCTACCCTCTCTACTATTGACATGGTTTCTAGTATAACTCTTGCCTTGGTATGTTGTATTATTTACAGTTAATAAGCCAATGTTGAAACATCAATAGAAGTCTGAAATTGACAGTGGAATTGTCTTTGTATTACACGTTCTGAGTGTTGTCATATAGTATTACTAGTATGCTGTCTTGGCGGGGTGGGGAATCTCTTGTGACTACTTGTCAGTGTTTCTGTAATTTTGCCTTTCATCATCTACAGAGTTGAACAGTCTCTAGCATTTCCCAGGTGGCTTCTTTCTCTTAGGAGTAGCTGTCTAAAGTCTATTCTTGTCTTTTTTTCGTGGTTTCATAGCTTCTTTTTAGCACAGTAAAAATCATTGTAGGGCTGTACCAGTTTATCCCCTCTATTGAAAAACAGCTTGCCTCTAAGTTTCCATGGTTACTAGTATAAATTCTATGTGGGTATGGTAGCATTTAGCTTTAATCACAGCTATTCAGGTATTTAGGTAGGAAGTAACTTGAATTCAGGCATTCCAAATGAGCTTTGAATGTCCATTAGTGTCATCCTTTTTTCAGCATGGGCAGTCATGCTAGTGAGACTTTTGGCTCTTAAAATCTTTCTGCCCCTTCCTCTTACACAATGTTCGCTGAGTCTTAGGTGTCTGGAATATTTTATGTATGTATCTATTGGAACTAGGCTTCATGTTTTTGCATTTTGATTGGTTGCGGTTTTCTGTAGTGATCTCCATCTTTTTCAAAAAGTTTTCATACTAAGGTGTGAAGACTACATTTATCTTTGGGTATAAAAACAAGTGTTAATATATTGTTGTTATGGATTATCTGGAATATCTTGTATATGTATCCATTGGAACTAGGCTCCGTCTTTGCATTTGATTGGTTATGGTTTTCTGTAGTGATTCCCACTTTTCCAAAAAGAAATTTTCTTAATGAGGTGTGAAGACTATACTTACCTTTGGGTATAAATACAAATGTTTATAGATTTTTGTTAGGGATTATGTTGGTTTAATAAATTATTGGTTGTAGAGTCTCCTTTAATAACTATGATTTCACTAGTTCTAAATACTAGGTTTCTAGTACCAGGCATGATTATCCATTTTATTGAATGAGTCTTAAGTCCAGTTAGAGAACAAATCGTTGCTACCAAAATAATGTTTGCCACCATACTGGTTGGTGACATGGTTCATAGGTGTCATAGCAACTGTTGGTTGCTTCTCTCTTTTGGAAGCTTGTGTGGTATCTTCTGGTACCATGAATACTAATCTTCAAGGAAGAGGATCATTTCAAGCTCAGGGGTCTTTGGGCCCTGTTTCTTAAGTGCATGGTGTCTTCAGCAATAGTGACTTAGGTTCCACCTCGGGGGGGGGGGAGAGGGGTGTAGCCACGGACACACCAATAGGCTGTATGTTTTGGGACTCTGTTTAACAGCTCTGGCCAGGAATTCAAAAGAGGGCTTCTTATGCCTGCTGTTGGGGTTTTTTGTCAGGTTCTCTTTAGCTCCTGGGTCAACCCAAGTAAGAAACTAACCAAGTCAGTGAAAGACTTCTGTAATTAAAACTTTAGGACACTGAAGAAAGAAATTGAAGAAGACACCAGAAGATATGTCTCCTAATGCTCTTGGATTGATGAAATTATAAGTGTGAAAATTGTTATTCTTCCAAAAGTAACCTACAGTCCTCATCAAAATTCCAACACAATTCTTCATAGAAATTGAAAAAAAAAAACCAGTTTATAACAGCCTCATGGAAATATATATACCCAAGACAGGATAGCCAAAACAATCCTGAATAATTAAAAAAAAAAAAAAAAAAAATGTTGGCAGTATCACCATTCCAGATTTCAGGTAATAGTGTGGTATTGGCATGAAAACAGACTCATTGATTTAAGAACCACACATAAATACACACAACTATGGACACCTCATTTTTTGGCAAAGAAGCTAAAAATGCAGCATTGGAGAAATGACAGCATCTTCTACAAATGATGCTGGTCAAATTGATGGTTGAATGTAGAAAAATGCAAATAGATCCATATTTGTGAGCATGCACAAAACTCAACTCCAGTGAATCAATGACCCCAGCATAAGACCAGACACCCCTGAATCTGATAAAGTGAGAATAGGCTTGAACTCATTGGCACAGGGAAAGATTTTCTGAACAGGATACCAATAATACTATCACAGGTGTTAAGACCCATACACTGCGTGTCCAGTGGAACTTACATCTTGGCAATACAATCCTACAGCTGTCTGATTGGACCTTGGACTTAGGACATGAATTATTTTACCTTGTTTTGTTCACTTAACTTTCTACTTCAACTATTACAGGTGGTTTTGCTGGGTATAGTAGTCTAGGTTGTCATCTGTATGTAGTCTTTTAAAACTTGCCCAAGGCTTTTCTGGCTTTCAAAGTTTGCATTGAGAAATGAGCTATTATTGTGATATGTTTCCTTCATAGGTAACTTCTTTATGCTTCTTGCATCTTGTAGTGGCTGGTTTTGTGTGTCAGCTTGACACAAACTAGAGTCATCAGAGGATGAAACCTTTGTTGAGAAAATGGCTCCTTGAGATCCAGCTGTAAACATTTTTTTATTTATTGATCAATTTATGAGGGCCCAGCCCATGGTAGGTGGTGCCATCCCTGGGTTGCTGATCCTGGATTCTGTAAGAAAGTGGACTAAGCACGCCATCGGAAGCAAGCCAGTATGTAGCTTCATGGACTCTGCATGAGCTCCTGTTTCAGGGATTCTGTCTGTCCTGAATTCCTTCGGTACTTCAGTGAGGACCAACAATGCTTAAGTTTAAGCCTAATTAATAAACCCTTTCCTTCCTCATTTGCTTTTTGGTCATGGTGTTTCACCAATAAAAATCCTAACTAAGACACATCTTTATGTCTATATCTTTAATTTGGGGGAATTTTCTTCTGTAATTTTATTTTTATTCATTTATTTATTTATTGGAAGATCTTGTTTATTCCACTGACTTTTGGTTGTTTTCATCTGTGTCTGTAATTTAAGATTTGATCTTTTCATGGTGTTCCACAACAGTTCTTTCATGTGTTCGTTTCCAAATCCCTCATTTTCTTTGCTTGCATGGTCTAAGTCTTCTACTTTAAGTTCTGATATTCTGTGTTTTTCTTGGTCCAATCTACTTTCTCTGAGTTTTCTACTTGGGCTATGAATGTTTTCAGTTCCATCTTAATTTAAGCTTGTGCTCTCTTCATTATGTATTTTCTTTACTGAATTCAGTTTTCAAATTCTGAGTTCTCTGTCATTTAATTCAGCCATGTATTGTGGTTTCTTGGACTAAGTAGGATATTAACCTTTAGTGTGTAGATTGTGTAATATTCTTGAGTAGAACAAGAAATGGAACATGTTATGTAAAGAATGATTCCATTTGGTGGTTGGATAGGAGAAACAATCTGTATGAAAGAAAAATACTTGAATTATAGCTTTAGAAGGAAGGGAGAAATAATCAGAACTATTGTCAATTGTGAGAGTGCCAAATAAGCCTGTACATGAACACATGGGAATGGTTGTATGGCTTTTTGTTTGAAATTTTTTATTAAATTTATTTCATTTGCATTCCAACCAAAGTTTTCTCTCCCAACCCCTCTTACCCCCCCCCTCCACAGGTCACCCCTACCTACTCCTTCCTTTGAAAATTTTAAGCATGTTTTACACTTAAGAATTTAATTCTGTAAATGTAATTTTTGAATGATCTTTTAAAGCAGATAGTGTTTATTCATCCTATTTTCATTTATTTAGGATTTGAGTTGGTCAAAATGAACAACCGTAAAACCAAGAATAACAGTGCAATGCATGCAGAATGTCTTTCACAGGTTAGTATGTTTGTTCCTCAATCTCAAATCCTTGATAATGATGATCAGAAAGAAATATCTTTTTTCACCTGAATTTTTTTTCCTTAGTACTGTATAGGCTGATTTACATTCTTAAAGGTGGTATCTTTATAAGTTTCTGAGAACCACAGGTAGAAATTGGAAAATTGCATGCGAAATGACAAATCAAGTTTTTATTGTTGAAGTTCTTGAAGGCTTCTGACCCATAAAGTGTGTTTTATATTGATGTCTGAAGGTGCTATCTAATAACCCTTTGGATTTGGGATAGTTGTATCCTAACTTTTACTATCTCTAAAATACGCTGGTTTAAATTTAATTATTCCTATACAAGGTGTGTATTGCTATGATATATATTCTAAACTGTTTTATTCTTTTAGTTGCTGTTATATATGTAACTTTTTAATTTTAACTTTGTTTAGGTTATTGTTCATAGAAATACAGTTAATACCAATATGTTACAGAACTCATTGAATATTACTGTTTTGTGGAATGTTTTTTCCAGTCAATATTATGTGTTATCTTTAAATGGGGGAAGTTTTATTTTCTCCTTTCAGTTTGAATGAGCTTGCCTTGGTGGTGGAAAGGGCAGTGCTGGGGATATCATCAGATCTTTGAACATGCAAAACAAGTACAATCCTGAGTCACATGCTTCTGATAATAAAGTGAGAAAGAACATTCAGTACTCCACCCTACTGTGATGAAGATGCCCTTACCAATCTGAGCGAGTTCTTTTATATCCTTAGTTTATTGAGTATTCTTAAACTATTGGCTAGATATCATCTTAAAAGCACAGTGTATTTCAAATACTAAGTGTGTAATTATATGTGTTTCCCCTAAGAAGACTATAATCCATTATAATTCTGCCCTAGCATGCATTTGAATTAACTGCAGCCACATTTACTTTAAAAAAAAAATCAATGGTAAGTTTTGACAGACTTGAAAAGACCCTTTTTTCTTACATATATGTTTGTGTGTTATGTATGTGTATGTGGGACAGTAATGGATGCTAAGTATCTTCCTCTGTCATTCTCCATGGTACTATTAAATGGGGTTTCTTGTTGAACATGGAGCTTGCCAATTGGCTAGACTGACTGGCCAGCAAGCCCTATATTCTCCTGTCTCTGCTTTCCAGGCCTGTAGTTATAAGCCTGGCATTCTTTGTGGATGTTGAGATCTGAACTCGTGTCCCCATGCTTGCATAGCAAACAATTTACTAACTGAACCATCTACTCAACCTTAACCTCACTTTTCTTTCTTAGGAAAAATTACTGCTTTAAAAAATAATTAACATTTTTGTATGTGAATAGTTCTTCCATGAATTGATTCTAAATACCTGTTTAACCTATATTCCAAATACTTTAGAATTTTTGAGCCTTGTATCATTTCCTTTTTTCCTATTCCTTAGTTTGTGTTTATGCATAGTTTCCTATCCAATTAATTTTAATGAGATTTTTATTTAAGGAAAGGGTTGAGGTTTGTCTTTATTTCTGGTGATCTTAATTATGTAGAGGAGTAGATATAATCCATTGATTCTTTAGATGTCTGTGGTCCATTTTAGTGGTTAATGGGTATTAACTATTACCTGTATAATTCTTATATTGTATTACAGATACTTTCAAAATAGGCCTGACCCCAAAAGTGTTAATACTTCCTTATTTAGGTGTTAAGATCTGGAAAAGACTTGACTTTTTGATGGTCACTTAAATGACTTTGACACCAATTCCATTACTGTGTGGGCTTCATCTCAAATAATAATCACGTGAATCATGTTTTTATTCTTTGTATACATGTGAAAAAAATTCACGTTTTATGTTTTGTACTTTATAGAGTCTGACAGCTTAGTCTGAGAGAAGCAGATAATTCTGTTGTCTTGTTAGACAGCTACCCAATGATTGTCCCTGAAAAGACTACTGTATGAGCACCAAATCCCGAAAAGGAATAACTTTACAATGGCTTGCTTTTCAAGACTACTTGACTATTTTGACATATTTTTCCCAACTAAGTCTAAGACAATAATTCTAAGACCAATTAGAAAACATACCTACTTTTAACAAACTATTTCTTTTGGGATTGCTCCAGTGATGTCTTCTCTATTTCTTTTTCACTTATTTATTTGTTTTTTGCAGTTATGATGTTAGAAACCAGGGTCTGAACATACATGCTAAACAGTACATTTACCATGGAACTACATCCTTACTTTAGACTAGTTAATTGTCATTTCTTTCACATAAACATTGGTTTTCAGGTTGATCTAGTACTGTTTTGTAGTTTTTATTTTGAACTTGTCATTTCTGCTATTTTTGCAGGGTCTTTTTTAAATCATATACTTCTAGTATTTCTATGCTTCAAATCTAGTGGGTACTTAAAACTACTTAACTTTTAAGTTTAGTTTTATGCAAAATCCTAACTTTAAGGCAGGTACAGATTGATAGTGACTAAGCTATGCCATTTTAGATTTGTTAGTATCTAGAGAGACCATTCACTGTGTAGCACTGGCATTAATTATTGGATTGGATTGGATTGGATTGTTAGATTTCTTGTAGTCTTTGTTCTTTGGATGACATTGTACACAAAGTAAAAAGCATTCATTCACGTAAATTGGAACAGCCTTCAAATTATACATTGGTTATACATTGAAATAGTTCTCCCATTCATTGACGTGTTCATAACCAAATTCTCATTATTTATTTGAGACGAGATGAAGAATCTAGTTTCATAACTCACAAAAATGATGCCAGAGCAGTATTATTGAACTCCTGTCTGCTATAAATAAACTTTCATTTTTATTGCATGTATAATATTTTAATTTGTGCATCTTATGTTTATCAGGTGCAAAGAATTTTACGTGAAAGATTTTGTCATCAGAGTCCACATAGTAACTTATTTGGAGTGCAACTACAATACAAGTAAGTATAGCTGTCAGTTCCTCTATTACAAATAAATTTGCATTTACTTTCCAAGTTTTGTCACAGATTTTTATCTTAAGTGATGATGTTTAAGTTATGTTTTTATATATAGAAATGCTGAATATTAAGAATCAAGAACACAAAGAAATGCTTATATAATGAAATGGTCCTTTAGTACGTCTTTTCTGTGTATTATCTGATCCTTCTGAAATTCTTGTCCTTAATACCAGACAGCCAGTTCAGTTAATGATGGCTAATGTGCTGGCAAAAGTAGTTATCTCTAAGCCCAGGGAACCTAAAAATTACCATGATTTTCCCTTATCTTGAACCACTATGAAACCCAATAAATTCCAACCTTTCTGGGTTTCCTCTTCAGGTCTCTAGAAAGTCTCAACTGGACTGTGACCTTTTCTCTATATTCTTCTGTACAGGAAAATTTAGATCCTCACAGCCCAGAGAGCCCAAAGGAGAGAAATAATGTACACCTTCAAATTTAGTTCTTTAAAGGTATGATCCAGTAAATTATTATACCTTTATTTTTAAATTTTTTACCTTTTTGTGTAATTTTAGGCATTTAATTGAGCTACTCAAAAGAACTGCTATCAATGGAGAAAGTAACTCTGTACTTATTGTTGGACCAAGAGGATCAGGAAAAACCATGGTAAAAGATTAAGGTTCTCAATATCATTGCCTTACTAGACATTTGAAGTTTTTTACATCAGATTACACTGAAAGTGTTTCTCATTTCATTATATTGCAACATTCTGTGTTTACTATTCCTTTTAAATTGCAAAAGATATGCAGAAATCCTGCAAATTTAGGATGTGTTATTGAAATTGATCATGCTTTTTTTAAAACTTACCTTTCCTCACATTGACAATTTTTTTTCCCTCAATATTGGTTCTGTCATTGTCTTTTGTCCTTTGTATTATATTAAAGACAGCCGGTTGACAAAGGAATAAGCAGTACTGGTCATGTACTGCCCATACATTGTGCCCTTTTGTGTGTAGCAAGGGACTCATAATGCCATGATGTGTGTAGAGGTCAGAGGGTAACTTCAATGTTGATCCTTGGTCATTGTGCTCCTCCTAATTTTAGCCTCAGGGTCCTCCTTTCATATTCTCTGCTCAGTATATATTCCTGTAATCTTTTAGAGAGTATTGTCTCCTCCCATTGGCACTGAGAGTGTGAATATATGCTGCCACACATGGGTTCTGAGGATCCCAACTCAGGACCACATGCTTAACAGTATGCACATTTCCCTTTTTGCCATATCTTCCCAGACCTGTGCCCTTTTTAGGTATTCTTTACTCCAGACTTCAAGGATGTATGGATGGACGGATAGATATGGGCATTATCATATAATGCTCCCCACCTAATATTTTTTTTCTTTTGCAATTTATTATTAACCTTTAAGCAATTCTTTCACATCCACTTGTCTTCAATATTTATGTCATACTTTCCCTCTTTATCATGTTTGATTAGTTAACCTCAAAATAATGCTCCCACCACCACATGTGTTCCTTTTGTGCAGTATAGGAAACAAATTATATACATCAACATTTCAGTGTGTTAATATTTAGTTTTAGGGTGCTTAATTGTATAAGTTGTACTAATTTTATATTTTATAATACTAAATTTTGTTGCATGGATTTTAGTTTCTTATTAATACACTTTTAAATTAGTAAATTAAAATTATGCCTTTTTAAAAACAGTACGTGTTGGTTCTATATTATGTAAGATGAGGAAGTTAGATTTTTATTTCTTCTACTGTTTCCATTGTATAAAGCACATAAATTGATTATTAACCACTGATTTACCGATTCAAAGATTGTCACATTTCTTGTAAGTCTTTTTTACTCTACTTGCTTTGTTCCTTGTGTTTTATTATAGTTTTCTTTTGCATTTGACTAAGTGGAGTTTGTTTTTGTTTTTCAAGAGGAGTATGAAAATACAATTGTAGTTTTAGTTTTATATAACTTACTGATTGTCTGGGGATAATATTATTGCTTGCAATTTTGGGAGATTTTTTTTTGTTGTTTTCTTCCTCCCCTTAGAATTGCATGATTTTCCTCAATTTTTGTTTTGTGGGGAAAATCCTGGGACATCATTTTCTCCTCTTTTTTACTTTTGCAATTTTTGGTTATATAAGTGGCTAGAAAATCAGATATCTCAGGGAGAAGACACCTTCTTGCCCATGATAGGGTTTTTTATTGTTACTTCTCATCTGGGCTAGTACAGTATTTGGACAGTTGGTTTTGGAGAACTTGGTTTTGAAGAGATCTAGACCTAGGTTACCTGTGTTAAAATGTGTATATAAATTTGCTAGTCCTTTTTCAGTATTGTGGTAACATCATCAGCATATGCGCATATGTGTGTGTGTGTGTGTGTGTGTGTGTGTGTTTTATTTCTAAAAACAGTTTACCAGTTATGTTTCTGTCTTTGTTGAATAGTTTTCTGTCTTTGCTCGTCTGTCTTGTCTACTCTAATTTAATTGTATCTGTTTTCCTGGAGCATTTATGTTTTGAATAGAAGGCATAGTCCTTATTCCTCATTTAAAAGGTTTTAAGTTTTCCTTAATTTCCTCATTTACAAATTTAGTGGGTATGCAGTGGTAATTGCAACAGTTGTATATGATGTTATGATAGGACACCTCAAATGTTAGAAGAATGCAAGTATGTGGCACAGAGCTATTATGAGGAAATTTTGAGACATTGCGATACCTTCTGGGTATATTTTCATAGAAATTATTATTAGTAATCTTTTAATTACAGCCTTTTACTTTAACTTTCCTGTTGTTTTGTGGTGGTAGAGTTTGTTTGGATTTGTTTGTTGGTTGGTTTGTGAAACAGAATTTCATATGCCTCATCTTGCAAATCTTCTTGACCCTTCAGTTTCTTAGCCTCCTGTCTCTACCTCCTGAGTGCTGTGATTGTAAGCTTATGTTGCCATATCCAGCTAACTTTCATTAATATACCTTTTCTTTTTATTTAGCTATTTGCAAATACTTGCTTTTTTTTTTTTTTTTTTTTTTTTTGTTTTTGTTTTTGTTTAACTAATTGTTCTTCCTTATTTCATGAAAATTTGCAGGGTGTTAAATAGTATTCTATATTGACATTAGAGAACAAGTTTTTTGGAACCAAATCTTAACTAGTAGAGCAAATGTAATATGAAAATATGTAAAATGCACTGAGACATAAAGATCACATAGAACAATAGTTTAATCTGAAATGTATGGAAAATTTTAGGGTTGTTTCCAAACTTTATTACAGGTTTAGATAGATTGATAAGATTTCATATTGGTTAAGTTCTGGTGTCTTAAGACTTAGACATAATAGATTCTACATATTTAACCCTTTTAGCAGTAAAGTGATTTTATTTATTTATTTCTTAGCTCTCATGATTTAAAGAACAGTGGCTTCATTTCATCTTTCCTATATTAAACATTTTACATATTTTTATATTTAGTTAATAAATCATGCTTTGAAGGAACTCATGGAAATAAGAGAAGTGAGTGAAAATGTGTTACAAGTTCACCTAAATGGTGAGTATATTATTATTTTCCCATTAAGAAATGATGCAAATTATATAGGTTTCCTATTATGAAAGTAAATTCATTTGTGTTTTAAGTCTATTCAAATATTTTATTTTGAAAACTGCAAGTTCAAGGACCTTTAGAAATTAAATAAAGGAAAGTGTATTAGAACTTTTTTAAAAACATTTTTTTCTTAAACAATACTATCTCAAAGGAACTGTTCTTTGATTATCATTTGTTAGAGGAATTGATATGAACTAGCAGGATGATTATATTTACCTGGAAAATGTTAAATGCATCATTTTAATTAGACACTTTTAATTTGGCTGTATTTCAGGACTGCTGCAGATAAATGATAAAATTGCTCTGAAGGAGATCACAAGACAATTAAATCTAGAAAATGTAGTTGGAGATAAAGTTTTTGTAAGTATCATTTCAGATGTTTTCTAGAAAGTTGGGAGAAACATTAGAAAAAAAACTGATGTAAGATTTTGTCATTAAAAGATATAATGTATAAGGATATAATTAGTCATTGAGCATTTATTTCAAAGATTTTTATGATTATTGGTTGAAGTAAAAGTTTTTAAGCAAGACTTGTGAAGTAGCATGGGCAGAGTGGATAGGTGTGTGTTGAATTGAAAAGTGGCATAGTGGGTTAGTTTATTACTTTGTTACTATGATTTGATTCCTTGTTGAGCTATTGAATGTCTCAATTTCACGTTCTTGTATTAAGTACATTTTATTTTGTGTATTTTACAAGAATATTCTGAACAAAGGAGTAAGCATTAAATTTCCACTTGGTTAAAAATACTGGATGGTGGGCTAGGTGGTGGTGGTTCATTCCATTAATCCCAGCACTTGGGAGGCAGAGCATGTGGATCTCTCTGAGTTCCAGGCCAGCCTACAGAGTGAATTCCGGGATAGCCAGGGCTACACAGAGAAAGCCTGTCTCAACAAAACCAATAAAATAAGATAAAATACTGGATGGTAATGTGCTGCATGAGTATCTGTTGTTTCATTTCCACAACTTAGTGTTGTCTTGTAGTCTTAAGACACTGGTAGTGCTTCAGACTGATTTGAAGCATTCAAATTTCTCATTAAACTGTTTCTCTGTTTCCCTAACTTACATGACTTAAGGAAAATAAGATTAATCGGTGTGCTAATATACTATCCTGAGTCTGTATGTGCAGCTGAGATACATATATCCCAAGTCCATTTTCTGTCCACTACTGTCCCTGTAGTGCTGCAATCTTACAATCTTATCTTGTCACTGTTTGCTCTGTGCTACAATCTGAGCATAGCCATGCACACTTTTTTTTTTTTTTTTTTTATCTTTTTATTTAGTTTTTAGATTCCAGTACCAGTTCTTCCTCCCTTCTGTCCTCCGGCTCTCCCTACCCCCCACCTCTCATCTGCTCCTCGGAGATGGGGGGTACCCTAGGAAGTCTAAGTCTGTTCCATCTTGTTGAGGCAGAACCAAGGCACCTCTGTACCCCCTCCCTTCCCACGCACACCTCTGTGTCTAGGCTGGGGGGGCAAGGTATCTCTCCATATAGAATGGGCTACACATAGTTTGTGCATTAGAGTTAGATCTTGGACCCACTGCCAGTGGCCTCATATATTGTCCCATTCACACCATTGTCACCTATATTAAGGGAGTCTAGTTCAGTCTTACCAGGACACTTCTTAGTATCTGGGAATTACATTCTCTCAATTAGCAGAGAAAAATTGAGCCAGCCATATGCTCTCCTTCCCTGCTTTGCAAATTGTAAGAGTAGAGTCAAAGTGTTTGTTTTTTATAAGTACTATGTTGTGTCATTACTTAGAATATAATTATAAGCTAGTAAATTACTGTCTGATCAAAAAGAGTTCCTATTAGCTTTTAATTTCCAAATGATCTTGGAAGTTATTTCTAGTGTTTCTGTGTAGACATATTTGAACTGTATTTGTGTGAAGTAATTGAAAAGACAGTTGTTTTACCATCCTAATCATTGCAATTATTGTCATCATGAGAGAGTCAATCCTTTGTTCATATGTTTAGGTTCTGTATCTGTATGCAACCAACTGCAAACTGAGGATATTCAAGAAAAAAAAAAAATGTGTTCATACTGAACCTGTACAGACTTTACACTCAGTTATTATTCCCTAAACAGTTCATTGCCAGAGCTAAAAATGTCTAGATAACAGTCTAGTTTGCTTTTTGTTGCTGTGTTTAAACACAGTAACTAAAACGAACCTGGTGATAAAAATAATGCTCCCAGATACAATGGTTTATTGAACAAACCAGGAGACAGAAATGAATGACAGACCACTGATTTCTGAACAGAATACCTCTGAGTCAGAGTTACTGTAAATTGTGTATAATACCTCTTGGTAGTCTATTGGCAAAGCAGTATTTGACCATTACTTTATGTGGATATTCTTAAATCATTTATGCTGGACTAGTCAGATGTCTCTGTGGGTAGAGTACTTGCTACCCAGCTTGACAAACAGAGTTTAGTTCCTCAGAACCCACTTAAAGGTGAAGAATAGTTAATTTAACTACTACAAGTTGTCCTCTGACTCAATGTGCTGCACAAACATGTAAACAAAATATATAAATATTAAAAAAAATGCTTTATCGGATTCTTTCAGTTGGAAAGCAAACCAGAAGTTTCTTTTCTCTTTTTTATAGCACCTCAAATTTAAAGTTTACTTTTTCCTTAAAATATGTGAATGAAGGGATGAGGAGATGGCTTAATGGTAACAAGCATTTGGTTTTTAGCATCCATATTATTAGGAGGTTCACACTTGTTTCTGATTCTAGATCGGAAACCACCACTCTGGGCTTTATGCCATACCTCATGTACACATACCCACATGCAGACAGACACACACCTACCCATAATTAAAAATAAATCTTTACAAAAGGATTTGAAATATCTAAATAAAAGGCAAACTAATAAATTTAATAATAAATATTTTAAGGGACTTTCTATTCCAGTTTTGGAACATCTAGGTAATTCATTCAGTACTCTTAATTTCTTCAAGAATGTCAAATTGTATCCAAGAGTATTTTATATGTATTCCAAATAAACAGAAAAATTCGATGTAATACACACAGATTTCTAATAGGTCATATCATAAGTAGAGAAACTGTAATATTTTAAGCAATTTTTTTTCTTTTTTTTGGATCTGATTTTAATTGATTCTAAGTTTTTTGGTGGTACAAACTGAGAGTAGGAGAAACGTGTTGTGTTTAAAGATATGAAATGGAATACATTTCTAGTCCCCAGCTATATTCTTTTCTAATATTTCTACCAGTATTGCTCAGAAAATATGAAATTTCACATGTAACATAGTGCTATCGTTTTCAGGACTTTACGTTTCCTACTTTTGTATTTAAGTTATAAATAACTAATGTGGATATATTCAACTGAGAATCTATTCAATGACTAGTTTCCTAGTAAAAGCAATGTATTATTGTTTGTAAATATCTTTAAGTTTCATCCTTCATATTATTAAACCTCAGTCTTTCTATATTTTTGTTATTTAGGGAAGCTTTGCTGAAAACCTTTCATTTCTTCTGGAAGCTTTAAAAAAAGGTACATGTTTTAAGATATTTGTACAAAAAAAAAAACAAATTGAAATTCAGAATTATCAAAAGATATTTTTAACTATAGTCTTCTCTGATGATTAAAATATTAAAAGTGTTTAGCCACCCCCCCTCCAATAAAAAGTACAGGAATTAAACTAATAAGCTATTGGCCACTGTAGTGCCACCATTGTAATGATTTCAGGGTTTGCTTCTTTTCTTTCAGCCAGCTACCACATTATCATTGGTGTAGATATAAATGCAACCTTTTTTTGAGGAGGGGTGGGTTTTGAGTTTTGGGTTTTTCGAGACAGGATTTCTCTGTATTGTTTTGGAGGCTGTGCTTGAACTTGCTCTTTAGACCAGGCTGGCCTCGAACTCACAGAGATCTGCCTGCCTCTGCCTCCTGAGTGCTGGGACTAAAGGCATGGGCCACCAATGCCCAGCTAAATGCAACTTTTTATAAGGATAAAATCAGTACCAATTAGATGACTTAACAAGTAATTGTTGCATTCCACACAGGCTTGATAACCTGAGTTTGCTCCCAGAACTGAAGATATAAGGAGAAAACTGACTTATGAAAATTATCCTCTGGCTTCTACATATGCCATAACACTAGAGCCTACATGCACACTACACATAACACCCTGACACACTAATAATAAAACTTAACTAAAGGTTATCTATCCTCTGACTTCCAAATGTGCACATAACACACTAGAGCCTGCGTACATACATACCAGACTCTGACATCACTAATAATAAGTGAAATATAAAAGCCTAATTACTCACCTCTTATCACAGCACTTGGGAGGTCAAGGTAGGAAGACTAAGTAAGTGCTCAAGATTAGTATGAATAAGACCATGTCTCAGACAAACAAGAACAAAAATCACTTTGCCTATTATGTGGTAATTATGGTTGTCTTATATTCTTTTATGTAAAGAGATTGTTAATGTTTAAATATTTATATGTCTTTGCCTAGTTAGGTTATAATGAGTTGAAATTTGGATTAAAATGTACTATGTTGAAAAGAATATTGCTTACCTGTCTTTGAAACATGTTTGAGGATCCTTTTTTCCCCCAGAGTTCAGAAACAGTAATTTTCATCTTTAGCTAGACTGTAGAAAAGAAGCCAATGTTAGTTTCATTTGTATAATTTTGTTATTTAATTTGTATGCCCTGGTTTATGGTGATGGCTATTCGTTTGATGTTTTGACTGACCATTGTTATTTCCTATTGATGTTTCACCCTATTTTGGTGATGTTGGTCTCTTACCTATTTTTAGAACTTCGTATGCTTTATTGCCTTAAATTTCATTTGTACTTGTTAACTGAATAGAAGTTTTAGGTTTCTACATAACTACTTTTACCTATAAGATATGATTCTCTTCTTCAAATTATAAAATTGTTCACCAGTATTCCCTTTTAATACACATATTTCTAATTGGTAATTTGTTTAGATTTTTTTCTTGAGACAGTATATCATGTGGGCCAGGCTGTCCTTGACTGCACTTTATAGCTCAGGCTGACTCTTAAGCTTCTTATCATCCAGCATCTACCTTCCAGATTGCTAGGATTGCTTCTATATGCCAGCAAGGCCACACACAGGTTTATTTTTATATGCAATAATTTGATGTTGAATAAGTCATTTTCCTTATTGAGCTACTGGCCATCTTTTTTGTTTGTTTTTGTTTCATTAATACATTTTATTTAAATTAGAAATTACTGGCCATCTTTTACAAATACTGTTGCTGCACTATTTCCTAATTCTGCTTTGTATAAGTGGGTTTTTTTTTTTTTTTTTTTTTCTTGCGATTTTGTTCTCTTGCCAAAATTAATCAGTCAAGTTCAGGTTGTTTTGTTTTTATTGTTTGGGTAAATAAACAAATCTTCTCTTAATCTTTGCTTCAAAAGTTTTATAAACATAAATTATTCCTAAAATTCCTAAAATGTATTGAGTCCTATTGAGTCCTACTGAACATTACCTGATTGTAATATTAAAATTTAAAGTTAAAGGCATTTTAGGGATTTTTGTTTGTTTTATTTGTCTGTTTTTCTTTATTGCACTTCATATTCTAATTGGTTATTTGTAGAGAAAACTATAAATGGGAAGGTATATTGTCCATTTCCCTACTAACGAAATATGTCTCTTTTACAACAGTTTTTACTCAATATTGACTGCTTTTATATTCCAGAAGTGTTTTGATGGTATTGGAAAGTCATCTTTGTAATTATTAAGGAACTACACTCATATAATTATAAAGCTATCTTGCAAATGACTTTCTCAGTTTTCCTCATCAAGCTGCTAGACACCTGTAACTAGATGGTAATCTACCTTAGAACAAAAACAATTACCTTTGTCCTGTGGATACCTTTTCATAAATGAGTTAACCTGCATTTGTAGTTGTGTGGCTCTAAGTAGTTGTGTTCAGTTTAATTTTCAACTGAAATATCACATTTCTGAAATTAAAAAAAAGCTTGATGTAATTTCTTGTTAGTTTGAAACTGTCATTTTTATTTTTTCCTTAGGTGACCGTGCTAGCAGTTGCCCGGTGATCTTCATACTGGATGAATTTGATCTTTTTGCTCATCAGAAAAACCAGACACTCCTTTATAATCTTTTTGACATTTCTCAATCTGCACAGACACCAGTAGCAGTTATTGGTCTTACATGTAGATTGGTAAGTCTTTTCATTAAAAATAAGAATCATAATGTTTAGATTAAGAAAATACAAACTTAAAGTAAGTGTTAAGGTATTTTGAAAATTATCTTTCTTGAATTCTTTATACCTTGATCCTGCTTTTCACTTGATGAAAACAAAAGAATTGATAACATGTACTATGCTTTAGTCCTACTAATGAAATAAAACTCTCACATACTAATAAGTGAGGTTTCTACTGTAGCGAGTAAAGAAACAAGTAACACCAGTAATATCTTATAAAGATTGGTATTTTTTTAACTTTATCATACAAGATTATTTTCATAATTTGAAGTAATTTACTAAGAATATTTATCCAGATACCTATCAATCTTTTAACAACTGTAGAATGAATTCTTTGTTCAGGGTGTGTTTCAGAATGATCTCACCTGGATTCTAAGTATTGAAAATTTTAGATAGCTATATGAGTCTTTTTGTTTGAACCTTTTTTTTTTTTTTTTTTTTTTAAATGTCCAGTCATGAGAACTGAACTCTAGGACCTTACACATAGTAGAAAAACAGTCTTTCCTACTACTAAATTATATTCAGTGTTTTGGTAGAAAAATCTCACTCATTTCTCAGACTGTCCTTGAACTCAAAAATCTCAGGCAATTTAGTATCCTTGTGAGTAGCACAAATTACAGGATTATACTACCAGGACCATCTATATCTACTATAGATGCTCTGGTATACATTTAAAAGTATGTGGCAATCACCTTTTCTCTAACTAGTTGTAACTGCCATGTCTCTCTAGGTTTCTTCATGCTCTCTGCCACCCATCTCCTTCATAAGCTTATTTCAGGCTGGCTCATTTATTTATTTTTCTTCCCCACAATTATTTTCCCTTTTATAAAACTTCTGTTTTACAACTCATCTTTCAACAGTTCTTCCAATTTTGTATGAAAATTTTCTGTTTCTACTGCTTTTCTCTGAAATTTCTGTCTTTGACATCCTCTTATACTTTGTATGCTTTTAGATCATTCTTAAAACATAAAAGATCTGGCTGATAGTTTGTCTTTATCCTTGATACTCTGTTCCCACTTCCCCTGCAACACACACTCCCAGAAGCTGTCACGCGGATGCCTTCTTGCTTTTAAGAAGGGGGTAGTGAAGTGGGTCTGGGCAGAGGGCTTGATGTTTATGACATGTGCTGGACAAGTATGAGGAATAAGATTCAAGCCCCCAGAATCCTGATGAGCAGGGTCTGGAAATGCACCTGCAGTTGCATAACCGAAGACCTAAAAAAGTATCTTTGGAGCAAGCTAAGTTTAATTGGTAGACTTCTGGGTTCAATTGAAAAACTCTGCTTCAATGAGCAAAAAGGATGGAAGGCCATGATGAATATTCTTGACATCAAACTCAGGTCTCTACACATACATTCACAGGCATATGTGTGCAAAGCACACCGCATACCCATAAGAAAAATAAACCCTTTGGGTGAAATTAGGAATGGCTTTCTCCATGAGCATGAAGATTTAAATTCAATCTCTGGCACCCATATAAAAAGCCATGTGATGGTGGGCCATTGTAAACTATCCCTGGGGAGGTAGAACAACGGAGTTGTTGTGCCTTGTTAAGCAACCGGTCTCTAAATAGGCAAGCATCAGGTTCATTGAGAATGTCTTGCCTTTTTCGTTTTGTTTTTATTTTTTGTTGTTGTTTGGTTTGGTTTAGTTTTTTGATAAGATTTATTTTTGCTTTAATCCCAGCACTCTGGAGGCAGAAGCAGGCAGACCTCTGAGTTCAAGGTCAGTGTGGCCTATAGAGCGAGTTCTAGGACAGGCTTCAAAGTTACAAAGAGAAACCTTGTCTCAAAAAAGAAAATAATAATAATATTCATGAAAGTCTCTGAATTTTTATGACCTCAGATTTTTATGTAAACTTTTAATAGGCCGAAAAGAATACCGCACTGATATGCTTGCTGTTACTTACAATCTGAGTTCAAGAATAGTTTTGAGTGTCCTTAGTGTACTTGGGAATGTAGAAGTTGATATTTAGGCCGGAAACCAAACTACTGGTTTCCTAGAAAGGAATTTAGTTCAGAGGTTCTCAACTTTAGTCACAAACCACCAGGGTCCCCTAAGATCATCAGATAATTACATTAAAGTTTATAACAGAAAAATTAACAGTCATGATGAAGTAACAACAAAAATAATTTCCTGGTCGGGGGTCAGCACGTATTAAAAGGTTGCAGCATTAGGAAAGTTAAGAAAAACTGATTTAGTTTCCCTCAATTTAAAATGCTTACTGGTAGACTATAGTGAGTCCTTCTGTGGCACTGACCACGCCCATTGGGGGTGGAGTCTGGGCGGAAGTGACCTGTGGAAGGAAGTTGGAGGGAGAACCAGGAAAAGCTCTCTTGCTGGTGTGACTCCGAGAGGAGAGGATCGGGTTGAATTTCCTGGTGTTCATCTGTCTAGGTTGTAAGTTATTTCTCTCTGAATAAACATCTATTCGGCCTATTTGTTTATCCTGATCCTTATTTAACCGTGATAGTAGACTCTTAATAAATGTTGCTAATTATAAGCTATAATTTACTTATTCTCTAGTAACATATTTTTCAACATGCTTCTTATACAGATTTCTTTTTTGTTTTCAAGGATATTCTGGAACTCTTGGAAAAAAGAGTGAAGTCACGGTTCTCTCACCGGCAGATACATTTAATGAATTCATTTGATTTTCCACAATATATAAAAATATTTAAAGAACAATTATCTCTACCTGCAGAATTCCCAAATAAAGTTTTTGCTGAGAGGTGGAATGAGAATAATCAGGCAAGTTGAAAACAATAGTAATGGCACAAAAAGAATCTATATCTTTTCATGTTACTAGAGGAATGAAATTATAAACTTTTTCTTATTTAAGAGTAATAGACATATCTTGTCACCTAAATTATCTCTTTCAAAAAGAAGTTCAGGTTAAGCTTTAGTAGTCATCAGTAGTTGAAGTTTTTCTGATTTACATTTTAGGTAATTTTTTAGTGAATTTACACAGTTTTAAGTTTTATTTTCTATGTTTTACAAATTTGACAAGAGGCTATGTTGATAGTTCATGCTTATCCCATATATATATTTTTATTTCCAGTTCTCATAAATGATGTCAGCTTTGTTTCATTAGCTTATCCAGACTGTGGTATCTCTCTTGTGTACTGGACAACCAGACTACCACTATACTCTATTCTAGCCCTATTCATTTTGTCTTTAACATTTTAGGCCTTCCTTGTAAAGTTAAATTATGTCTTATAGCAAGAGTTCATTGCTTACATGTGACTTTTTATTTTAACTTTGTTCTGATTTATACTTCCCCCCTTATACAGTAATTTTTGTTGTAACCAAATACATGGGGAAATCTATTTAAGGTAGGAAGGGTTTATTTTGAGAGTATATAGTTGAGTTTGAGAATATAGTGGTGGAAAGACATGGAGGCTGGAGCTTTTGGTAGCCAGTCCACAGCACATCACAGAGTGATGAAATGTTCTTATTCCTCTCTCTCTCTCTCTCTCTCTCTCTCTCTCTCTCTCTCTCTCTCTCTCTCTCCCCCCCACCACTTTTCAACCCAGGACCCCAGCCCAGTAGGCTGGTAAAATGAAATGAATGTTGTCTTAGTCACTGTTTGTTGCTGTGAAGAGACACCATGACCAAGACAACTCTTATACAGGAAAGCATTCAATTGGGTGCTGGCTTGCTGTCTGAGAGGGTTAGTCCATTATCATTATTGCAGGGAGCATGGTGGCAGGCAGCCATGGTGCTGGAAAAGTAGCTTTGAAGTACACACCCTGACCCACAAGCAGAGAGATAGAGTCTGGGCTTGGCATGACCTTTTGAAACCTCAGAGCCCACTCCAGTGACATACTTCCTCCAACAACGCCTTGACTCCTAATCCTTTCACTCCTTGCTGACTAAGCAATCATTTATGTGAGCCTACAGTGGCCATTCAGTCAGTATTGACCATCACAACTAGTATATGTAATATAACAAACTATATTGTAATTTTACAAATACTTAGTTTTGGTTCTTCCCTTCCACAAGACTAATCTTGCATGGGACTTGGGAGATTGTTTAGTTAACTAGGCAAGTTTTACTGTGATAACATATCTGATTTAAGGTTTCTTTCTTTGGGAGGATGTTCTTTGTCATTTGTCATGTGCATTATTCCTTTTCTTATTGTGTTCTGGGTTTTAACATCAGGATCTCTGGCCACTTTATTTCTCAGTGCATCACAAAAATTTCCCCTTATATAGCTCTTTAGCTAATAGTCTTATTCCATTATGTTTTTGAGAGATTTGAATGCTGTTTTTCATAATTTAATGACTCCTTTTCCACTGATTTTATTTTTTTCTGTGCCTGTTTACTCCTTTTTCCTGAGGTGACTTTACAGCCATCATCCATCTATGTTGTATTATGAGTATATAATTTTAAATCCATGAGTTCTGTATCTTGATATACAACCACAAATGAAAATTAAACAAAATAACATAATGTCACTCATACTGAGCATATATAGGCTTTTGTTTGTTATTCCCTTAATAATGCAGTATAATAATGACCTACATCTTTTGCTATAATAAAATGCTCTGACAGCAAAAGCAACTTCAGGCGAAAAGGTTAGCATTCGGGTTAGAGTCCATCATTGGGAAGCCAAGACAGGAACCAGAAGGCGGGAAGTGAAGCAGGGGCCATAAAAGAATTCTGCTTACTAGCTTGTTCATTTTGCTTTTTTTATACATCCCAGGACTACCTGCCCAGACATGGCTCCACCTACAGTGAGCTAGGCCCTTCCACTTCAATCATTCATCAAGAAAATGCCTCTGCAGACATGCTCACAGACCAGTTTGGTTGAGATAGTTCTCAGTTGAGAACCTATCTTCCCAAGTGACTCTAGCTTGTGTCTGGTTGGCAAAAACTAACCTACACAAAAATCTATTTACATAGCTTTACAGTGTGTTAGGAAATACAACGTAAGTAATTTGGTGATATAAAGAAATGTGCATTTGTGGTTATACATCCACCATACTGTACCTTTTTGTATCACAAAATAGAATTTCCCATGTTTTGTTTGTCTGGGGTATTTCCTTGACTCAGTCTCCTAGGGACACAGAGTAATTAATATAGAGAATGATCAGAGTTTCTGATGAAGCACTAATCTAGATGATTTTAAAAAATGGATACAATTTAACATTAGGGTGATTCAACTCCAGGTAAAGATGTCTGATTGTTCTCAAAGTAAAGAATTTAGCTAAGACACACAAACTTTAGGTAAACATTTATTTAGCAAAGTAAAGCAAAGGCTTGTCAGAGAGAGAGATAGAGACTAGAACATGAAGCCTCAAACACAAAAAGGAGGTAGCAATTCACTAAGACTTCTTAGGTTCTATGAATATTAATGCATGGCATGAGTTATAGTTACTCTTTTCCTCCTGGCAAATCATGGGGCACCAGATATCCGTTTTTTAGGTTATTAATTCCATAAGATCCTTTTGGAACACCCAGACTTTCTGAAACATTATACTCTTGAGGATGCAGGCCCTTAATTAGTATGTGAAATTTTCCTAGCACCTCAGTTTCTGATATGGTGAGAAGAACTAACTTCAACTTCAAGTATGTTTAGCCACAAAGAAGCATCTGTCTATGGGAAGCACACTTTTCTTGCTTCCCTCATACCTAACTGCATCCAAGCAGGGTACCAAGATATTAGGTACAACTGTAGTTTCCCTTGTTAACCTCAGGTAACTACCCACTCTCAGCTTTCTAGTTTGTTTTATTTTGCCGTGTTTTTTCAGGCTATAATTTAACCCTCAATCAAACCTAAGATCTTCATTCTTGTGGCAGACTTAGAGCTTTGATATTTAAAGGAGAGCTTAGAACTGTTAAGACTTGTATTTGTTTCTCTGAGGACTGCCTACCTTCAGTGTCAATAAAATGTACTTGGAAGTCTGTCAGCACCATGGCCAGAGTCTCCATTTTGGGTGGGGATGTGGTAAATGTGGTTGGGGGAGCTAGCCACTACTTCAGTGCTGATCTTGCAGCAGATTGTTTAAGACATGCCTGTAGTTTTGGCAAGTCCTTTTAGAGAAAGTGAAGGTTTAACTAGAAAAACAGATGTTCTGAGAGCATGAAGTTTCGAGAGACATTAGCTTATTCCTGAAATTTAGATATTTTTGAGGTGAAAGAAGCCAAACATGTATAGTAAAGATAATAACCATTTAGTTTATCTGTTATTGTTTGGTGTGTTTTAGCAGGTTTTGTATTTGTTAGGTTTCTTTTTTTTTTTTTTAAGAAGTCCTCAATAATTTTATTGATAGTGTCATACAGTGTCTTTTGGTTGTATGTTTTTATTTTTATAACCCTCTGTCATATTTGTGCTGTCCATACACTTTTGATTATGGGGCCATCTGCTGGAGACTGGTCAGCATGCCAGGAACAAATAACTACCCCTCGTAGAACCTTAGTTTCTCAGCTACAGCTGGGGCTCATGAACTCCTTCCCATCCAGCACTAGAAAGCTAACTGACTTTATGTTGTCCAGATAACATCACACACACACACACACACACACACACACACACACACACACACACACACACGAAACAAAAAAAAATATTTCTGGTGAGGTCAGGCTGCTGTACTAATTAGCAGAGAAGAATTTAGAGGGCAGTTGTTTGATACAACATTCATATAGCAGAATAGTAGAAGTAGGTTCACCCCTAGGGTATCCATAACCATAGGTCCTTGGCTGTATTTATAGTACTAGGCATGGATCTCCTTTGGAGTGAGTCATAAATCCATTTCGTAATAATTGTGCCACTTTGGCTTCCATGATTATAGTTTGCCATACTGGCCTTTGTTTTGTTACTGTTTTTGTTTGTTTGTTTGTTTTGTCTTAACTACTTTAAGGAAAAGGGATCTTTTTACCAATCAGATGACTTGTGAAAACTTATGCCAAATGTTGCTCCATCTTTCCTTGCTCTGTCACCTGAGTTCACTCTTTTCACCTAGTGTATTATTCGGTGCTCTTGTCTTACCTTCCATTGAATTCCAATTCTCTAGAATTATTTGACTCTTAAAAGTCTTGCTTCAACAAAGAGCCCTATTGGTCTCATTTCTTTATCCATTGGCATCCTCTTAGTGTACCTCAGTTTAGTTTTACAAATTAGTTTGAATTATTGATTATTCCCTCTTGAAGTTTTTTCACTTGTGTGATAGCTAATCATCATGTCACCATAAAAATATACTTCAGGTTTAGATCACCATGGAAACACATTCTGCGTGTATCTATGAGTGTACTTCCAGAATAATTTTAGCTATAAAGGGAGGACCATTGTGAATGTGGGTGTCACCATACAGGATGGAAAGAAAAAGGGAAACTGAGCTAAGAAATAGCATTCATCGCCTCCTTCTTAGTGCTACAGTACTTATACATTAACATGTGCTGCCATCATGCCTTCTACTCCTTGTTAGATTGTACCTTTCAAAAGTAGGACAAAAAGAAGTCTTTCTGTAAGCTGCTTTTAGATTAGGTATTTTTTCTCAGCAAGAAGAAAAATAACAAATGCATCTTGTTTTCAATATTGCTGTGGTCTCTGGTGCATTCTTCCAAGCCTTGGTTTCACTTTTTCTTTGGTCCTTTTTCTATCTACTACTTTAATTATAACTGAAGGATCACTTCTTGACCACATTTTAATCATCACAAGCACTCTGTGCCCTCCTCAACCTCAGAATAGTTATCTTTTGGTTTTTCTTGTTGATACATCCTCTCAACAGTTGTAACTGGCTCCAATTAGGCTTTCTGTCTTTCTTTTTTTTTTTTTTTTTTTCTGTACTGTACCTTTGCAAATAACTGTACTGAAGGAGTGTTATGACTCCCTTTTTTTGTCACTGTACCATCATCATGATTCTGCTTATGTTCTTGTAGGTCTTCATCATTTTCCCATTACTTCACTCAATCCTCTCCTGCTTCAGGTATAATGACTCTCGTTCTCTATTGTGCTTGTGCCACATTCTGTTTCAACATCCCACTAGTTTGATTTTATTTTTTTTTTTCCTATTAGATTGGAAATTTGGGATTAAGCTATATTATCCTTAATTTTGATTTGTTGTTTTCTTTTGTATTTTTTAGTGTCTCTCAGAAGACCCAACTGTGTGTGAAGTTCTACAGAAACTTTTCAATGTCAACAAAAACTTGCGGTCATTGAATATGCTATTGGTTTGTATATTTTTAATATATATATATATTTGCCTGATCTATGGAAACAAAAAAAAAACTATACATGTTAATGGAAAGTCTTCTGTTTTATGCATTCACACATGGTATAATCTATATTTTTCAAGTTTTGAAGTACCTTCAAGCAGTTTTCAATGACAGCCAAACAATTTCTACATTCTTGTCAATGGTATATAAGTCAAGAGGGAAATTCTTATACTTATAGATGCATTTAGGGTGAAATTACATTGACTATGCTAATATTTGGATATAGAACACATCTTACTTTATTTATTGTTTGATTGTTTTCATTGATTGATAATTCTTCCACACAGATCCGGGACATATTTCAGGTGTATCAGTGTCTCACTGTCTTTGAAGCCGTTTTAAGTGGTATTTGTAAATTTTAGTACATTCAGTCCTTTTTAACTCTCAGAATTTAAAACTTTCTGTGTAGACATACTCAGATTATCCCCAGACAAGTGCATTTTCTTGTTCCCTTTCTAGTCTTTGTCTTTTCTTGTCTCTTGATAAGACATGTTGGCTCAAAGTGGTGAGAGTGGGCATCTTTCTTTGTTTTAAAAAGATGACATCTGGCATTTTAGTATGGTATAAATTTTAGCTGTTAAGGTTTCTTGTACATGGTCATTTTTAACTTCTTTTTCATGCTGATTTTTAACTTTTTCATGTCTGATTTGTTGAGATTATTATGAATGTGTCTTAGATATTTGTCAAATGTAAAGTCAGTGGATACAATCATATTTTGTTGTTGTTGTTTTCTTTTCTGAGACAGGTTTCCTCTGTGTAACTTTTGGCTGTCCTGGAACTCAATCTATAGTCTAGGCTGGCCTCTGACTCACAGAGATCTGCCAGTCTCTGCCTCCTGAGTGCTAAGATTAAAGATGTGTCACCGCCACCCAGCCATATGTTTTTCTTTAATGATTAACACGTTAGACATTACACTAATTTTCTTTAAGTTGTCTTGTTTTCTTGTTTCTTCTTTTATCTTCTGGGAAGGGGGTGGGGAGTTCACACCAAGGTATAAATAATGTTGAATCCAGTCAAATACTTATTATGAATATTAATGTCCTTTACTCATTAATAATGTTTGAAATTAGTCTAATATTTCTAGAAAATGATGGCACATGCCTTTCAAGAAGAAAGTGTTTCTTGGTTCATTTGTTTCTGTTTATTTTAAATAACTGAAATGAGTAATAGTGACCATTTATTAAGTAGCACATCTGCCCTGTAACCAGTTAGTTTTCTTCATAATATCTAATCTTTCCACAATTATCATTTCATTTTATCCTAGGTGTTTCTTTGAAAAAAAATGAAACACCTGAGTTGAATAGGTCTTTCATACCTAGTAGATGGGAAAAAGCTGGCTGTCAGCTGTAGGTTTTTTAACTATCAGCCTGTGACATGCTTCAAGTGTTTATGCCACATTGCATTTACTGATTCTTCTTCCCCTTTTCTGTCTTTACTGAAGAAAATGGTCTTTCTCCATATGAACTTCCTATCTCATTAGTTTAATTCCCTCCTGTCCATCAAAAGTATACTGTCACTTCTAGCAACTTGTCTAATAAAGTTGTGGGTGAAGAATCTTTAGATTGAGACTGAATTTGTCTCTGGTAATTTGAATTTGTTTCCATAAGCTCATAGGTAGTGGCACTATTAGGAGGTGTGGCTTTAGTGGAGTAGATATGGCGTTGTTGGAGGAAGTATATCACTGTTCAGGCAAGCTTTGAGCTCTCATATATCCTCAAGACACACCCAGTGTCACAGACCACTTCCTGTTGCCTGTAATTCAAGTTTTGCTCAGCTCCTGCTCTAGCATCACGTCTACCTGCATGCTGCCTTGCTTCCTACCATGATAATAATAGACTATATAAATATAAATAAAGTTTTGAACTGTAAGCAAGCCACCCAATTAAATGTTTCCCTTTATAAGAGTTCCTGTGGTCTTGGTGTCTCTTCACAGCAATAGAAACCCTTAAGACCTGTTCTCCTTACCACCATCACCCCGACCCCCCCTCCAGGAAATCTCATCTAATTCCCCTTCCCTGGGTGATCCATATGTCTCTCCTAGGATCCTCCTCCTCACCTAGCTTCTCTGGAGCTGGTTAGCCTGTGCTCTTTACCTCTAGTATCCACTTATAAGTGAATACATAACAGTGTTTGTATTTCTGATTCTTGGTTACTTCACTCAGGATTGTTTTTTCTAGTTCCATCCATTTGCCTGAAAATTCTTTTTAAGAAATATAATAAACAGGAAAAAAAATAGAAAAATAAAGAGCCACATATGGCCAGAGTCCCAATTTGTAGAAGAATGAAGTCCAAGACTTCCAATCTCTTGTCCTTAACAATGGAAGTACACATATAACTTGATGCTGTGTTTGTATCTGTTACATCTATAAACCCAAATTCAACATAAAAATTACAGTAAAATATTTATTTGAGCTGAAAACTTGGTCCCAGAGCTGATAATTGCTTGAGGAGAAATAAATGAAAAGGATAGTTATGGCTAAGGCTATAATTGTTTTCAGAACTGCTAACTTCTAAACATAATTATTTGTAAAAATTTGTATAATGCATATGTGTAAGTGTGTGTCTGAATTTTGATTAGTGTTCTTATTTTCAGTTTCTTCTTTTTGGACATTTCCTTTAATGATTTTCTTTTGGACAGTAAGTAAATATGATTCAGTTGCAAAGTAGTAGAGTCAGCAGCATCTGAACTGAATCTGTCCCATTTTCTTAAAGCAAAGTTTGAGGTTAACTTTCTTTAGTTTCTTTCTCATAAGAATAAACTGTACAAATTTTTAAAAATATTCAAGTAAATAATTAACTTTTAATACCTTTCTTTAGATGCTTGCTTTAAATCGAGTAACAGTATCACACCCATTTATGACTTCAGCAGATCTGATGGAGGCACAGCATTTGTGTACCTTGGATTCTAAAGCAAGTATTATACATGGTAATAAACTGCTTTGTTATTCTTCTTTTAAAAGTTAATTTAAGTATTTTCCAAAATTATAGTAAGTATTGAACATGGTGCATTGTATACAGAATACTTCATATACATATAGCTTTTAGTCAGTACTTTGCAGTATATTATTGCTGTTACTGAAAGTGAAAGAAATTGTGTTCTGTCTCACATACCAATGGGTTTTCCAGGTAGGACTATTGATAATATTCTCCCTGCTTACCCAAAAATGCTACCATATTTGTTGATATTTGGTTATTTGAGGTTTACTCTGCCTTTTGAAAATGGAACATTTTTCTCTTCAGTATGTGGCGGGGGGGAGTAGAGGGTATGCACACAGGTTTAGATAAAATTTCCAGAATTTCTCTTCATAAATGCCTCCCAAAGGTATTTTATTTGAAATTACATGAAAATCACAAGTTCTGCTATTCTTACTAGTATCAAATTGTTCATACTTATATATAGTAAATTATTGGGGGGGGGGATTAGTTTCTCTGTATGTAGGTCTGGCTGTCCTGAAACTTACTCTGTAGACAGGCTGGCTTGAACTTCTAGAGATCCCCCTGCCTCTGCCTCCCAAATGCTAAGATTAAAGGTGTGCACCATCACCATCCAGCATATAGTACATCTTTTTAAGTTTACAAAAATGTTTATTTTGAAAATAACTCACCCACCCTCCCCACCCCTGCTGCCACCACCACAAAAAGCCACTAACAACTATGTTCAGAGAAATTGAAAAGATGTTTTTGTATTTTTATAGATAGCAGTGGTTGGAATGCTTTTAAGTACAGGGAATCCCAACCTCCTCTACCCTTTAAACCCTTCACCATACAGTAGTTATTTTCTAGAGGACAGTCATTTCAGTGTCATGCAACTCAATAGTCTGTCTCTCTTTTATTACAGGGCTGTCAGTCTTGGAAATGTGTCTTATAATAGCAATGAAACATTTAAATGACATCTATGAGGAAGAGCCCTTTAACTTTCAAATGGTCTATAATGGTGAGTTAAAAATTACACCATTTTCATCTGGATTTCTTCCCTGCTTCTTATTGGAGAGTAGTAATATTCTCATTGCTTTCTTTGCAGAGTTTCAGAAGTTTATTCAAAGGAAGGCCCATTCTGTTTATAACTTTGAGAAACCTGTGGTCATGAAGGTATGGATTGATTTGCTTGTAGTTTTCATCAGATCCTACTTGATTTTTTTTACATATTCCATAACTTTTGAATCCTTGAATATTGTATAATAGAAATTCTTTCAAAGCAAAATTTGGTTAAATGGAGAAATAACTTCAATAATTCTGTAGGTAGCCTGTTTTATAGTTTGGGAAGATATATTGCCCTCTACTGTCTGTCTGTAGCACTTGCATACTGAAAAGGAACTACACTGCTTTATATTGCCACTGTAATGACCCTTTCCTTCTCCAATCCACAAGTTGGTAGTTACAGTTGTTAAGCTTTATTTCTGGTATCACTTTACAGCTTGACAGGGACATCATACAATAAATACACTCCTCCACTGCAAAGAAAATATGAATCATATTATATAGTCTTAGGTTTTCTACTCTGCATATGAAATGAAAGATCAAATAACTTGTTATAATTCAGTCTATTAAAAAAATTTCCAAATCTATGATTAAATATTTCATGAAGTAGTTTTTTTTATAGCTTTAGATTTTGGCATATTTATATAAAATTACAACAGATTGCAACTTAATATTCATTATAAATTTGTTCAATTTATTAAAAACATAATTAGAAAAAGTTGATTTACACTTTAAAATTATACCATATATACTCATCTTTCTAAATAAAGTCTTAAGAGTTTTAAGCTTATATTTTATATTCCTCAGTCCTCTTGTGTCTGGAAGACACTGTTTCCTTGGTATCCATTCCCTCTGGCTCTTACATCCTTTTTGCCTCCTTTTCCATCAGTCCTCTTGTGTCTGGAAGACACTGTTTCCTTGGTATCCATTCCCTCTGGCTCTTACATCCTTTTTGCCTCCTTTTCCAGAGTTTCCTTGAGCCCTAAGGTAAAGAGTTTAATGAAAAAAAATTCTATTTAGGACAGGAGTTTTCCAAGGTCATAATGCTCTGTACATTGTCCAGATGTAAGTCTCTATTACTGCAGCCAAAAGCTTCTCTGATGGTAGCTAAGTGGACCATTGGTCTATAGCTGTTTAATGTACAGTAAGGCTTTATTATGATTTTGGTAACCTATTTAATTAGAGTCTTAACTAGATTCTTAGGTTTTTATATCAAAGTAGTAGTCAAAGGACTGGAGCTCTATTATCTCCCAAGTGGAATAGGTGCTGAACATGAGTAAAACTTAGGTGCAGTATCCAGCACTTACCACTAGAAAAGAAGAAGAAACTGTGATAGAGAATAAGCCTCAAAATAAAACCTTATTATTGTTAAGGTTCGGATAAAATTGACAATGTTGTTTTTATGGATTTGATTAGACTTGCGGTTTGGGGAACTACCATTTTTGTTTGTTTGTTTGTTTGTTTTGTTTTGTTTACTGGTGCTAGGCCACCACTTTATACTGCTGAGCTAAATTCCCATTCCCTAAAAATTATTTTAACACTATTGGTATCTTTCATGTTCTCTTTCTTCCTCCCCTGTCTGTCTTGAACAAAGTTGGAATGTATTAAGAAAAATATTTTAGAGCCCAGGTGTGATGTTGAACACCTTTAATGTCAACACTTGAAGAGGCAGGTGTATCTCTCTTGAATTTGAGGACAGCTGGGAAATCCTGTCTTGAAAAAAATATTTTTAAATAAAATAAAAAAGATTTTAACATAAATTCAAGTATATAGAGGTGCATTTGGGGAAAGATGGTTCAAATGTGCTGATTTCTGTTTAACCTGCCTGTTTCACAACTGGGTAAAACGAGTAACTATCCTGGATTGCATTTTTCCCCTTTCATCTAAGCTGCATCTTTTTATCTTTCAGGCATTTGAGCATTTACAACAATTGGAATTAATAAAACCCATGGAAAGAACTTCAGTCAATTCACAGAGAGAATACCAGCTAGTGAAACTACTTTTGGATAATACTCAAATTATGAATGCCCTACAGAAGTACTCCAACTGCCCTACAGATGTCAGGCAATGGGCAACGTCCTCACTAAGTTGGCTGTGAACATTTTAAGTACATTTCTGTAAAGAACTAAATGCTACTGCCCTCTATCAAACAAGATATGTTATTACATTCCTTTGTAAATACTGTTTGAGAAACCTGCACTTATTACCCTGACTTATGTGTTGAATCATGACTATACATATACACAATCCTGTTGTTGTAAATTGCACTACACTAATAGCAATTCAAAATAATAAAACGTAACTATCTTGGGGATAGTACATATTGATGATTTAAGTGTACATTCTGGATCTACTTTAGTTCAGAAGGGATCAGAATTTGCCATCTAACGTATCTTAAAGGATTTCAGGGAAACTGCTTCCACAAATAGAAGTATTTTGCAATATTAGCTGCTCGCTTCAAAAAGGAATTCCCTAAGAACAGAATGTCAATCAGAGGTCTACATCATAGATTCATAAACCTAAAAGTAACAGAGGTTGAGGTGTAGTCATTCACTAGCTTCATTTGTTCAGGAAAATTGCATTGCATATTTGGTCACAGTAATATTTTATTTATAATTTATACTTATATTTTATATTTATAATTTATAAAATATATCACCCATCTGTGTGCAATTTATAAAGACTTTAACTGCAGAACAGATTAGAAAACTAACACACCAGTAGTAGTGTCCCAGGATCACAGTGTGGGAATGTCTGCTGGTGTCCCCTAGAATGAAGCTTGGTTTGACTGACACTAAAGCCTATATTAATAAAAACTAAAGTTCTACAATACATTCCTTACCTCAGGTAAAACCCTACTTTCTTATGCAGCCTAAAACATATTTAGCCTTGTATAGTTTAATGCTTTCTCCCAGCCCTATCTCATTAAGTCTAACATTTGCATAGTGATTTCATGACATAGTCCACACTTTTTTTTTTCCAAAATATTTAACGTGGTAGCATTACTACTGAATAAAAGCAAAATTTTCCTTTAAAAAAAAATGTAGCAACAGGACAAGTCTATAGTCCCAACATGTAGGAGACTTGTCAATCAAAAGAGAATCAAGCATTTGTGGCCAGTCTGGGCTACATAGTGAGAGCCTGTCTCCAAAAAAAAAAAAAAAAAAAAAAAAAAGTCCTTCTCCAATGAGAATTTCACACTTACTTAGATGCTGCTTACAAGCTAAGTCCTCTGCTTTCCTGGCTGGGTGACAAACAGGTAAGGTAAATTTTTATTTTTAAAAACTGATAAAAATGAGGCAGTAGTAACCATTTAGGATATGCAAATATAGGTATACATTGCAAGTTTGTTAGCTAGTTTCATCTCATTGCTTAAACTACATTATTAAATCTAATCAAGAAGAGCATAAGTTACTAAAAATGGTATTAAAGTATGTATCTGTAATGTGTAATTCCATAGCTTCAGAGGTGAAAACAAGATGAGTATCTACTTGTAGGAGCCTAAATAAGAGTTCCAAACTAGCCTGAGTTGTCTTTTTAAAAAAAAAAAATAAATAAATAAAAATGAATGTGGACAGAAAGTATTACTTGAGGATTCTCTTCAATGAAGAAAAATATAAATCAACTCAAGAGTTCCCTCGGTCAACAGACGGAAGAACAACCAGAAAGGACTTAGGCTTCTTCCCTGTGGCCTACTGAAACTTTGATCTTGTTTAAAAGACATCTCTGATTTATATGCAGACACATATCTCTGAGTAATGTCTTAAGAATTAGACATTGCAGAATGTGCTGTGGAAAAGAGCATTTCTGTAGCAGTGTAGCAGTCCTGCATATTCCACCATTGCCCTTTGATTTGACTTGGATGACAATGTGGGTTCTTTGAAAGCAGTAATCTAAGTGTCACCTTCACCTTTGTCCTAAGAGCACAGAATCTGATCAATGCACTGGCTTTACCAACAAAGCTCTGCATTCCTTCCGTGGGCAGTAAGAACCAACACAGACACAGGGTAGAAAGACAGTCTTGATTAGACAACAGTGAAAGGAAAATGCACTAATTCATAAACGTCTCTGCTTTCATGACTATCCTTGAAAATCTCAAGGCAGAAACCTCAACTGTAAATTGGAAAACTGTTACTCTCTTGAAGAACATACATAGCTAAAGAAAAACTGCATGTACAAATAATACCATATTCATTTTTTTATTTAACATGGGGAATGGAATGGGGATAGCATACATTTTATTTGTACAATATTTAACAATCACTTATTCAAGGTGGGATTTTATGGGGATTTTTTTTTCATTTTTAGCTTTCCATTAAATACTTGCAGAAAAAAAAAAATAGCAAGTACAATATGACAGTAGTACAACAACCTGTGCCCAAAACACTGACAAGAAATACAGAGTAAAGCTAAAGTAATCGTTTACCAATATTTTGAGAGGTAACAAATAGGGAGATACGGGTTGAGACTGCATAAAAAACGTACTGCTGGTTGAATATCTGAGGTAAATGATGTTTAATCAAGATGCTACTTGTATCTTTGTCCATAAATTGTAAATAATTTTATGCACATTATACCAAATGTTCCTAAAAAGTAATTTTTCAAAAAAGTAAAAAAGAGAAACTGGAAAATATCTGATGAAGCATTTTTTTTTTTAAAAAAACAGTAATCAGTCTATTCCACTAAACTACCATCTATCTGTTAAGGGATTGTTCCCAACCATTTGAATTTTACTTGAACGTGACTATTAAGGATAAGAAAAGGGGACAGAAGCGATGTTTTCCTAATTTTGTGATCTATGATTCTAGTTTTAAATCCAAATGTGTTGGACTTTGTTTTTCCTTGGTTGTATTTTCAGAATATCACCACAAAAGATAGTGCAAGTTCATGGGACCAATCATTGAGGCACAGTCTCTGTTCTGGAATTCACAAGGTACCTGTAATAAAACGTCCAAACAAGAATCACAAATCACATGCTAAAACTCTAGCATCTAAAATACATACAAGATCTGCAGGGCATAGATAGACTTCAAATAAATTCAAACACTGGTTAATCCATCAGTCCTATGGCAGTTGATCATAAAGCATTTCTCACAGGAGATCTGGGCAAGGTAGAGTAAGAGCAGCAGTTCTGGTGGGTATCAGAAAGGCAAAGTACAAGACATTAAGAGGAGCACCATACACAAAGTTACAGGGGTCTAAGTTTGCCATCTCCCTCAAAAACATCCTTATCATTCTTTGATCCTCCTTTTTCAGTGTCCCTAGCTCAAAGTTTTTTATCTGCCCACTCTGCACTTACTGTAAACCAAACACTAAAATGCCCTGCAAAAGAAAGTTTTAACAAGACTAGGTATGAGGACAGGTAGTCACTGGAACATTCTTATTTTACTGCTTAGAAAAAAGGCTTTCTGTTAATGTAGTTCTCAAGAGAATACAAGTTTTAAAATTGATAAGCTAGATTGAAATACAATACCCAAGATTTCTAAAATAAAAAAGGTTCCCTAGCATGAAGACAAAGCATTTTCTATCATGAACCAGTCTTGATAACATTTTGTCTATAGTGCTTTCCTAAGCCAGACAGTCACAATATCCCTTGTTTATCACTTTTTTAAAAAGAGGTTGAATGTTTACAGTCAGTAGAAATTTGTTTATGGAGATCAACAATTTTCTTGTATGCACATTCTCTTAGGATTTTCCTTGATTAGTTGACAAGTGAAAGCAAACCTAAATCAAGAATTTGGAAGGTCAAATATGTAGAAATCAGAACAGTGAATACTGAACTGGGCAATTTTAGGAATACAGGAAAACCTTGGGTACATAGATAACGCAAAATTCTCAATGGGGTGTGGCATTCAGACACAAATGGTATTACTCTCCCCTCCCTGCTGTTGACCTATGTATTATTTATAATTAATTTAGTCTTCCCAGAGATTAGTGCACATTTTATGTAAAATGTAGTGTATGATGTCTTAACCATCTGAAAATAATGCATTCACAGTGAGCTCCTGCTAGTAACATGTAAAAAGTTTATAAAATTAATGTATGGATGTTAAAGTGACTCAACAAAAATGTATATAATACTGGCTGTTTGTTGGTAATCTAAAAATTCAGGGAATTAATCTTTCACTTGGGCTTGTATAAGTTTGAGGAAGAAGCCAATTATATTCTAATGTTATATTGTTTTTAAAAGCACTCTGGCACCTACTTGCCATCAATTCCATTTTCTTAGCAAGGATAAGGCATGAACTATCTATAGAGTTAGCTGTAAAGTAACTTGGGGAAGGCTAGGCTGTGTTCCTTATACCACCACTGGTTACCTCTAAATGTCATTGCATATTTTAAGTTGTAAGTTCAACTTGTTATCCCTGATTTGATTTAAAGCAGTAATATCTGAAATCTGTGCTTAAAAGTCAGTATCTCTATCCTAAGATAAGTCTCTTCATATCACAGACATCAAATATTACTCTGACAAGATGGCACCACACAGCATAGTGATAGTTACACGTCTCAAAGCAGAGTGAGGAATTCTGAGTAATGACACTTCCTGAGGTGATCCTAAAACAGTGATAAGAATATCCCACACACTGTTTGGTAAAAGAAGAAATACACCACAATTTTATATATATAAATAGGAAAAAAAATCTATTTTAAAAGATAAAATGAAGAGCTTTCCAGTGTCATAGCTCACTTAAAATTTTCTAAATCATGCTTTATGTTTTCAAATATTTCCCAAACACAGCACACTTTAAAGAAAAAAGTACTATTTAAGTATGCAATACTTTGGGACCTGGATATAAGATGAAAGGAAGAGGGGGAGTGGGGGGATAAGTGACACCATTTTTTTTTTCTCTATTTCAAAAACAGCACTTTGTTTTCCCTAAATTACAAGCCAGTATAAGAAAAGCTAAAACACTGCTTTACAAATAGCCACTTACTATTGGCACTAAGCATAGCTTACCATTTTTTTCTTAAATAACACAGTGAATTTGTAATACCTTGTTATAAAACATGGATTGATTTATTCAAATTTTGTTAGTGTTTTCAATTTTATAATTTAGCAACCGTGGAACTGAGGTATACCTTGTTGAGGGAGGTTAAAGTAATGCTTGGAAGCCTCTTTACTGTACCCCACTTTGATGACTTTATGTACACAGAACAGCAGCACACTACACATTCACAAGCTGTGTCATGTTGGCATTACAATAGTCATTTATAGAAACAACAGCAAATGCAATAAAAAGTTACCCTTTTAAAATCTGAAATGAAAAGTTTTTGATTTAAAAAAAATAGCAGTAGTTCATTTAAGGAATTAGTGTCTTTTGACAGACATTAAAATCTGACGTCAGTTTTCAAATACTTGATTAGCCAGGTCCAAAAGATCCTTGATTTGGAGAGAGCCACATTCTTCTTGTACATTTATAGTTTGCAGTTTTTCCCTTAGACTCCCCTTCATATCTGTGCTGCAGATGATGCAGTAAGTCTCCCAGAGCCATTGCGGTCCACAAGGAGCTGCTTGCGTACATGTCCCGGAGGCATCCTACTCATTTCACACAGAAAATACACTAAGCAATTTCCTTAGCTTAGCAGCTCCAGTACAGAGTCCCAATTCTCAGTGTGCATAGATGGTGCCACCATCATAGACTAGATTCTTTGGGAGGAAAGTCAACATTTGTCACCATTGTGACCACTGTTACAATGTCCTCTGTAGTAATGATATTTGTTAGTCTTTGCATCTGGGTAATTCTTTCACCTACACATCCAGCTGATAACCTGGCTTCTGCATCGTGATCCCAGCATTCTTCTATCGTTTCACAGAGCATTGCCATTCCCTACAAGGAAAAGAATAGTCAAACATAACAGCTATTATTTCCTGATAGGAAACAGGCTAACAATGTCATAACGAAATAGCTATTTTCTTGGGTCACAGTTTCTTGATCAGCACTCACTTTGGACTCATCATGGTTAGTCTCAAACTTTTGATCCATCTGCCTCAAGCATGTGAGATACCATGGCTGGATCAAAACTTTTATTGACTTATTTTACCAGCAAAATAAGTCACTTTTCCAAGCATTAGGCACCTATAACATACATATGTTTTTAAGTTTCATATATCCAGTGTTGATAAATCTGACCTTTCAATGCTTGACCTTTTCAAGTAGACTCACAACCAAGTCTAATGTGGATACCAATTTTTTTAATCATTTTCTTAGTAGATACCAGCATTTCTCCCCTGTATTTAAAATTAAAAGGCCACCCTTGAATCTCTGGTTTTAGGGTGTAGTTACTTATTTCTATTTGGGTTTCTAGTAAAACTAACCAAATTACTAGCACAAATCTATGCTGTTCAGCCTGATCTAACTGTAAAGTGAAGTCTTGAATGCCTGAAGAAATTAATAAGACTTCATGGTGTAGAGAAAACATGGTGCTTAATAAGTGTTTAAATGGCATTGTTAGAAGGTAATGAATGATCAGCAAGGCTATTGAGCTTTCCATGGGCCAGGCATTTGTTTCCTCATGGAGCTTTCAAAGTAGGAGATACTTGCTTGAACTTAACTAGACTGCTTAGAGAAGAACCTTCTCTGCAAGGCTTTGTGACTTCAGACAAAACCCTAATTCTGCCTCTGAACTCCAATACAAAACAGCTGTGTGTAAATTGCCTTCCCAGAAGAGAAATATGCACAGAACAGAAACACTATTCTCCTGAAAGTTGTTTTCTTGAAAAGGTGTATAAACTTACTGCATGTTTCTGCCAATAATCTCTTAAAACAGGCCTCTTTTTTTTATGCACAACAACTTCCTGCATATCTTCAAGAGACGGATGTTGACCGATTTCCTCCTCAAAGGGCAACATATACTCATCTACAGGTCCTGAAATGTAAGAAGAAGAAAATGGTTTTAATCCTTCCTGAGTAGTACAAGCTTCTCCAATGCTACAACGCTGTAATGAGGAATGATGGACCCCAGACATACTACTTGTATCACGAGGGGACCAGAATCTAATTGTGAGAAATCAGAAGGTCTGTTTTTAGGAGTTTTCAATAGCTATTTGTTTAGGACAGAGTCAGACTAAATAGTTTTGGCTGGCTCTGAAATCTTAATCTTGATAATCTTCACAGGCTGTTTTGGAATACATATGCTGAATGCCTGTATCCATATATGAACTGTCAGTATTTAGAAACCAAAGCTATAAATCCTCTTCACAAGCTCATTTCCAGCAATTCCTATCAGAATGCTAACATTCAGAAGTGTTAGCACCTCTGGAGACTCAGTGCCTCCACCTATTATACTTACCTGTGGTGTGTGCAAATGTTCTACATGAAGAATTAAAGCACTTTGCAATTTTCTGTCGTCTCTAACAAGCATATTTACATTACTTATAATGCTGCTTATTTTTATATTCAATTCACAATCATATTTTAACCAGAATTCCCACCAAGTCAAAATATACCCTCATGACAAAATGTATTCAATAACATAAACAACTTGTTTTTCTTGGATCTCAGAAAGACAGAATGTGCATGTAAGAGTTAATAACTGATGTTCAATAGATTCTTATTCAGAAAAACACACCTGTACTTTTACTGTTATTTCATCTCCAAGTGAAGGTGACATTTGCTGTATTTTGTAAATAAGATAGCTCAGAAAGTTATGAGATTTTGCACAAAGGTATCTGACTATTATATAGTAGAGTTGAAATATGACTTGTCTGAATGTGTTATTTTAATCTATATAGTTTCTTCCCTTGACACAACAGGTCACTACTTGGCAGTGTCACTGTCAAGAGAGTAAATATACAAAATGAGCCTTGTGGGAAATATAAAAATGTACCAAATCCCTCAAACATAATATGAACTGTTAAGAGGCATTGGCCCAGCCCTGTACAAGTGCTTTAGGAACCATCTTTTATTACTACTAAACTTACTGTGTGTGTGTGTGTACTTGTGTGTGCATACATATAGAGGTCAGAGTACAACTTGCAAGGAAAGGTAGGCTACACTCTCACCATATGAGACCCAAGATCAACATCAGATCATGAGGATTGCCCACTAAACCATTTCCCCAGCCCTGTGAGACCTTGGGATAGATGAAGGAATACTTAACACTTCTAGTGACTTAGTACTACCACCTTAAAATTTCAATCTTTGGTTCACAGATCAACAACACTGGCATCAATCAACTGGTAGTTTGTAAAATGCATAGACTTCTCAGGACTTATTCCAGGCTAATTTTTTTTTAATGTGGATGATGGTTTCCCTGCATGTATGCACCATAGCCATGACTGATGCCCATAAAGGAAGAGCAACCAATGCTCTTAATAATAGCCATTTTCCCAGCCTCCAGAGACTTATTTTTAACAAGATCCCTAGGAGTTTGGTATGCACACTAAAGTTTGAGAAATGTTAGATTTTAACTAACAACTAAGCACAAATTTTAAGGCACTTACTTTATCAATGTGGTTCACTTTCCCTTTGGCCCTGATTTTGATAGCCTACTTTTAAGTATTTTAGAGCACATACAAGGCATTTAAGAAAAATCAGCATCTAACCTTTTCTTTTGTCATAAAAATGCCCTGGTAACCCCAAGCCCCACCAAGTAACTCTTAATTCTACACCACCACCTCAGGTATGACTGTACCCTAGTATAGTTACGGAATGCCTTATATACCAGGTCCCAGAACAGGTCATGCATACTTATCTCACTTTGTGGAGTTCTCTCTCCACCTTAACTGTGTATTCCAATAGGGCCAGCATCACTGGGTCAGTATGATATGAAGGGCTCACACTGAAGTTCATATTTTTCTTTTGTAGTATGTGCTATCTGACCTACTTCTACCTCCAAAATGTCAAATGTCACTTCATGTCCAGTCCCCCAAAATTCACCTTTCCTTCTGTGTCTTTTCAAGTTCATAAAAGAAAATGGAATAATTTACCTTTTTGTGTAATCCCTTTCATAAATGTGGCATATATACTTTAAAAAAAAAATGTTTTTTTCCCTTACCATCTGCAGCAGTACAACGAGAAGCCAGTTCCCACAGGACTAATCCCATGGCGTACATATCTATCCTCAAAAATGCATCTCTTTGGAAATTTATAGCGCCCTCTAACACCTCTGGAGCCATATACCTCCGAGTACCAACCTGAAAAAGATTTTGAAAGCAAACATACTCATTGACTTTATGAACTAATGTTTTTGTTTATGGTTTTATAGAAAGAAAACCAAATGTGGTCTATTTATCCAGGATAAAGTAATGAATTATGATTATAACACCATAGGGTCTTTTTATTAAGAAGGTTTCTGGATACTCCCAACAGACACAGGTTTACAGAACTTGTCCTCACTCATGGATGCAATCATAAAGAACTAAATAGTTGTTTGCTGGGAAGGATTGTATGGAGGAAACAAAGCACTCTGCATACAGTTTAAGATACATCTTTAGAAAACACTCTTTTTGGGGCTTCACTAATAAACATTTAAGATGATCTAAAAATAATTAGCCAGAAACACATTTTTTTAAATTCTACTTGTAAAAAGTCTTATTTATTCATGAATTCTTCTGCCTTAGAGATCTTATTTATATTTGTCCCCCACAACTGGGTATTTTGCAGTATTGTAATTGTGGTTACTAAGCTACAACAACTAGTGCTAGTTGGTATTGATTACATTTTTATTGTGAATGCTTAAAAGATTTTATGAACCACCTAGGTAGACTATAGTAGTACATTTAGATAGATCTAGAAAGAAGCTTAGACATGGGTGTTTTTCATCCTTAGGTAATGAATGGCAAGTGATCTTTGATCAAGACTGGTAATTATTTGCACATTTAGCAACAGTTTTTAAAAAAAAGACAGATCAGTAAAACTATAATTTTATCACAACACAAAGTAACTATCTGGTCCTTGCTGTTCTGCCATAACATTTTGACTATTTTCTGAATATCTCTCAAAGCCTTTTTCACTTACAAGCAAACTTACACCATCCAAAGTTACTTCTTTTATTATGAGACTATGGCTTATCTAATTTTACTCTAAGATATCCTGTTTTATGAAACAAAGGTGGTATGGTAGCAGAGAAACTCTTCACTCATGGAGGTAATAACTTAGTCGAATCTTGTAACCCAATTGTAAAGCATTAAAAGATGACATGAATGATGTTTTAAAAAAAAAAAAAAAAACAAAAACAAAATAAAATAAAGATGGCTAGATAGATGGTTCATCAGTTAAGACCACTGACTGCTCTTCTAGAGGTCCTGAGTTTAATTTCCAACAGCCACATGGTGGCTAACAGCCATCTACAATAGGATCTGATGCCCTCTTCTGGAAGGTATACATTCAGAACACTCATACATAAAATTAAATAAATGAATGGATGAATGAATAATAAAATAAAGAGATAGCCTCAGCATTAAAATATATATTAACATATTTATTTGTATAAATATATTAATAAATGTTTATTTGTGCATAATAAATACATATAAATATATATTTAATAATTTTAATTTTGGTATGACACCAAAAAAATGAAACTATTCTACACATACTGTCCTGTGATTGGCAATCATTACAATAAGCACAGAAATTTTTCTCTAGGCTTCCTACTCCATTTTTTACTAGTATTCTCCCTAAAACTGTCTCTATTCTCATTCACATTGGCTTTTCTAGTGTTCTACAATTGCTGACATAACCTTGAACCAAATCTCAAACTGTTGAATGTGTCATGGCTGTACACAGCTATGTCCCTGGGGAATCAAGATATGGAAAGAGAAAGAAAACTCAAAAATAACCCAAAATAATTCAAATGGCTTGAAAGACAGAATCGTTTAGCTTTGTAGGAAATGTCGTATTTCATTTTTAAGATGCAGGGGAGGTGTTGTGGAATATTTGTTAGCACTGTGTCACTGTGATTAGTTTAATAAAGAGCTGAATGGCCACTGGCTAGGCAGGAAGAGGTTAGGTAGTACTTCTGGAGACAGATATCTGGGAAGGAGGGTTGCCAGCCAGCAGGATGGTAGTACAGAGTAAGGGTAACCAAGCCACGTAAAAGAATGTAATTAAAGACATTGGTTCATTTAAGTTACAAGAACTAGTCAGGAGCAAGACTAAGCTAAGGCCAAGCTTTCATAATTAATAATAAATTTCTGTGTCGTTTTTTTGCAAGTTGGAGGCTCAAAGAAAAATCTATACTACAGGGAGGTTTTTTAAGCACATATGATTATGGGCGCCCACAGATTCCAGAAAAGGGAGCTGGATCCCCTTAAGCTGGACTCACAGGCATTTCTGAGCATCCTGAGCCAGGGAATGACCTTGGTCCTCTGCAGAGGCAGGAAACACTCTTAATTCCTTGACCATCTTCCTGCCCCTAAAGTGTTCTTATAAAAAAGGTGATTTTATACAAGTGAAAAATCTTGCCTAGCCTCACATTTTTCTGTGAATAAAATGCATGGGTACTCTCCTCTCCTTTGGCCTACCAAAATGATGCTAAATCTATTTATTCAAATCATAACTGGAGTTAGACAACTCACTCCAGTCTTTTCAGGAGATCTAAAGTCTAGGAATAATTCAAAGAAAAAACTTAAATTCATTAAAGAGTTAATAAAGAGCCAGGAACAAGAAACTATTATATAGAAAAATGGGAAGGAGAGCTTAGTACACTGTAGTGAGAAGTGACCCATTATCCTACACTGTTAGGGTAATGAATTAAACAATGAAAACTGAGTTAATATTAAGAACTCTCTAAACCAGAAACTATTATTAAGAACTGGATTCTTCTATGACTAATTATTTAAAAAAAAAAAAAAAAACCAAGACAATCCTGTCACAGAAAAATGTTGTTCTAGTGTTTGCCTAATGCTGAGTGGATAGCAGTGTAAAAATGCTGCCTTCTTAAAACATGTCACTCTTCATTAGATGATGACTCAGTCCCTACCCCAACTACTGTATTGATCTAAAGTAAGAAATGTGCTTATTATTTTCGAGTCACATTTAATATTGGCCATTCTTACCTGTCCATGGGTGTCACCTGCAGACTTGCCAGCCTCAAACTTTAATGCCAACCCAAAGTCAGCAATGCAAGCTGTCAGATTGTTTTTCAACAGCACATTCTTACTTTTGATGTCCCTTCAAATATAAAAAATTATTTTAAATAAGTTATCTTTTAAAAATTTTGACTGAATATAAGGAGAATATGCTATAAAAAATAAAGTTACTTAAAACTAGGAAAGGCAAAGAAAGAGTCCCAATCTAGCCAAAGTACACAGATGGAGTGACAAAACTGTCTTCACAGAAGCGAGAAGGAATCCTCCCAATAAAGTAGTTTTACAACAGCCATTCCAGAAATACATATCATCTATGGCACTCCCACATAATCATAAAATTAATATTTCTTTAAAGTAATGGGAACATTTCAGATCTTATAGTTACAAACTCCCAAAGAAACTGAAACTTAAGAAAAACAAAATTTTAATAGCCTTTAGTAAAGATTCCCACTTCAGAATGGCCCTTCACTGCACTGGTCCACTGCATGTTCACCACTGTAGGAAAGCCCCTCTGGGAATACAGAACACACAGAGCCTTTTACCATAAAGTATAGCCCAATACTTTGCAAAGTAGTCTATCAGCTGTAATGCTGCAAAGTAGTCTTTCTACACATCTGCCTCATCCAGTTCATCTTAAAGACAACTCCAGCAAGCATGTCTATGCGGTGACCAACAATTACACTTATATGTCATCATATTGACCCACAATAAGATAGAAGTAGAGTCAAATACTCCACAAACCAATTGGTTTCAGTATCAAAACATTTTCGGGGTCCCTATAGCAACTTTGGGGAGGACTGAGGGATTAGTTTGAATATATTAATATAAGGGAGACTCACTAAGGAAGATGAAAGAAAGTGGAGCCCTTTCTGAAGAAGTCATTCATGGTTTGCAAAATCAGAATCTGGTAACAAGGAAGTTAAATAATGGCAAACTAAATCTGTTTTCCAAAAACCCTTTTCCTTTTCAAGATATGGTAACCGTTCCTTCATTGGACAGCTCTCGCCTCAGTTATTTCTCCTTCCACTTTACCTGAAGGAATGAATGTATACTCATCCAGAAAACAAAGAAAATGCTTAGTCTAGCCTTAATTTCATCATCACATAGCTATCAAAAACTGCCTTTATACTAAATTAAAATTTTGAGTTAAAAGCATTTTTCCTTTAAGACAGAGAATACACCTTTATTCTCAAACATGGTTTCAAAAATTACACAAATTAAAACATGAGATCATTAAATTTCACATGTACATCCTAGTCAATCTCAAACCTAATTTATAAAAATAAAAATCTTTGCCTCTTCAAATAAAGTTTAAATTTATTAAATTTAAATAAGAAACATATGAGCTTAATGGAAAGACAATACAAATCTTGCTCTACCTGTGAGATATTGCAGGCTTGTGGCCATCTTTTAAGCCAGGTATATCTTCATGTAAATATGCCAATCCTCTAGCCATGGTTTCTGCAATATGACAAAGTTCATTCCAAGAGACCACATTAGCCTTAAGGAAGTCTGACAGTGAACCCTAAAGAAAAGAGAGGGGGGAAAACACCCATGAGCTCTTGAAGAACGTTTTACATAAATGGAAACTTTTCTTTGGATATGGAGGCAATGCATTCTTTCAGTACATAATAACTAGAGCTACTCAAATTTCCTTCTAATTCACATTAATGAAAACTGAACCACAAAATACTGATTTTTAAAAGCTTATTACCAAAATAAGTTAATTTCCCCGACTTCAGAAGGTTTAAAGAAAAACAGACTAAACAGACTAGCTAAAAGTCTTAGAAAAAAAATATTAAATCTTAAAAGCAAAACATTATGGGACTACACTAAAACAATAAACAACCACTAACATACAGAATATTCCTTAGGAAATGAATTCATGGGCACATAACCATCAAGACCTGAGTTCAGATCTTCAGACCCATATTAGCCTGTAACACAGTACTAGGAGGACTAGGAGATCCCTGGGAACACACTGGCCAGCCAAATCAGTGAGCTACAGCTTCAAACAAAAACAATACAACAACAACAAGCCCCTCGCCGCCCCCAAAAAAAGGAAGGAAGGAGGGAAGGAGGGAAGGAGGGAAGGAGGGAAGGAAGGAAGGAAGGAAGGAAGGAAGGAAGGAAGGAAGGAAGGAAGGAAGAAAAACAGGCAGGCAGGCAAGCAACTAAGGAAGACTCTAAAATAAACATAAACCTCCACACAAGGACCTTATATGTATTGACCTTATTTGTCTTTGGGTAGGGGACACCCACCCAAAATCTTGTCTAAAGATATTATGATCGTGAAAATATAAAATATAAAGCCAGCTACAACTTAACAAGGATGACACTCATGATACAAACCAAGGATCTTAGCTGGCCAGGATTATGTACAAAGATGAAGCAAAAAGATGAGGCTAGCATGTGCTACATAGAATTTTCTTTAAAAAAAAAAAAAATTGTAGCTGAAAATTGAGGCAAAAGCACATGTGCTTTGGTAATAATTCGAAGTTAGTGACTATGGGTTCATTGTTAAAGAATTATAAGGCAAAAGAAAAGACAAAAAATCAGGGCTCATAAAATCACACTATATCGTAAGTAATACATGGCAAACAATGAACACTGTCTATTCTAAAGTACCTAAGAAAAGTAATTGCAGCACAGAAAATCAAAGGCTAGGGGTTGCTCTATGATTAGTGGGTTACGTAAAAAGTTGTTCTTTCCTTAAAGTAATTTTGTAATATATTTATTCATGAGTGATATATATTTTGGATCAAATATTAATCAACTGTGATAACATACTGTTCTCTTGAAATACAATTTTGTAGGTAGGCCAAGTCCAGCTTAACAAACTAAGTATTTTACCTTTTCATGAAATGCTGTGATTAGCCACAGGTCCACATCAACGCTGGTGCCTCGCTTTTCTGCACCAATGAACTGTAGTATGTTCTCATGCTTCATTCCAGGTAAACTATAGACTTCATATTCATTCTGCCAGGACTGTTTGTCCTACAGTTAAAAAAAAAAAAAAAAAAGTATGGTAAGAACACAAAAAGTCAAAAAGTACAAGAAAACTACTCATTTTGAGATTACTGAGTAAGTTCTAAAACAATAACCAAATAAGCTAAGTATAAGTGACACAACAACAAAATAAGCTAAGTACAAGTAATCTTTTGTTACTTTTTTTATAAAAGAAATCTGTAAGAGGTAATAACAATAATACATAATAAATCCTTGATATTTAAGGAATCCTACCCAATTCCCTCAAAATCTACTTTTTCTGTGTTACTAAGTTTACAAACAAGGGTATTAATAAAAAAAATAATAATAATATTTTAAAAACTGTGTTTCTGTATCTTAAACAGTAACACATTCTACATAAGTTACTGCAAGCACTATATGGAATGACCACCTTAAATAGGTAACAGCCTCTCTTCAATCTGACCCACCCTCACTCCCACCCTAAGCTAACAATACCTAATGTTTTTAAGCTACCAATTATTCATTCCTACAGGTTATTTATGGCTACTGTATACTTACAAAAAGTTAGTTTCTTTCACTATGAAAGAGCAATGAAAAAGTGAGCTACACTATAATGTAATGGTAAGGAAATCTCTGGATCCAAGATTGGTTCAAATTCTGGCTTTTCCTTTGACTTTTATAAAATCATTCAATTCTCCAGTAAAGGAATGATTTTCTTGGTTACTAAGTGCTCACTGCATATATCATATGAACACCCAACATGTAAAATAAAAGGGCGGCTACTGTTGCTTCTACTCTTAATATCCATATTCTTTTCAATTGTTAAGAATCCTCACACATCGAAGTAACTTCTACAGAGCTTCCTACAAATCTTAGCACAACAGAACACTTCTCTTTCTGAAAGAGCTACAGTGCTGCCAAGATAAAGAAAGGCTCTATGGGATAGGCTTTAGATATGGTGAGAAGGCTAAGACTCTTAGTAACTTTGTAGTGATGGAGGTTGAGGAGGTATAGTTAAAACTTCAAAGCCGCAGGGGTGTGTTACCAGAGAAAGGGGAAGATGGAAGCCCTAAAGTCAACCAGCAATGGAGCAAAGCAGCAGCAGTAGGTCAGGACTTCATAAGAAGTTCAGCTGCATTTCAAGGAAAAACAAAGTCAACCAATACTTTGGAAACTTGAATCACTGCCTCTCAGAAATTACCAATAAAAACTGAAATAATTACATATAAACACTCAAAGTACAATGAAAAGAAGTCAAGATCTAGTCAAGTAGCTCCAAACAGGTATTCAAAAGCCAAGCACATAATCTGTTGCTCTTTCTTGTGAAGGGGATATTAAGACAACCAGTCAGACAGTGAGGTTATTTTTGACTGGAATACTCGACTTTAGTTTTTATTAACTACATGTACATTTATTATGACTCCACTATTGACAACAAGCCCAAGTGATGTGCTAAAGCATTCTGCTTCTCAGATGTGACTGAGAATACTTTCCTCACTCTCACAATTACTTTAGAACATACAGTTTGTGCTTTCAGGCTGTTTATGAGATACAATCTTCTAGCCAGTTACAGTTTTAAAAATACATAGGAAGATAGATTAGAGAACTTCAGTAAACATACCTGTATCGGAAATATTTTGACAGCCACATATTCATTGAGCAATTGGGCTTTCCACACACAACCAAATCTTCCCCTTGCTTTAACTTCTAATAGCTGCAATGGCTTCAAACCTAATAATGGGGAAGGTGGGGGTGGTCCTGGGTCCTATAGATAAATAATAACAATACTGTAAATAAGCACAACATAAGACATTGATTCTGAAATGAGAAAAAAAAAGTTAAGTGTACTAAAGAACACACTGACAGAACTGTGAACAGGCAAGTAACTGTAAAGTCAGTGTGACTTTAACTTTCAGCCTAAAAAAACTGAGCTTCTGGGGCATTAGCGGAAACCACTAAGCAGGCATCGTCTACAATATTAGCAGTGCTGCTACTTAGGAAGAGCAGATGAAAAAACTGAGCAGCCAGTCTAACCATTGTTCCCAAGACTTTCTGTGAACTTCAGAACACTCTTAATAGTATGCAATTGGCTTCATCCAGCTTATACTCTATTACAGGATACGGTTATGAAAAGTAGCAAAACAGCAAAATATAGTGATTTCTCAAAGAAAAATGTCAAAATCTACTACTTTCTTTAGTGGCTGTTTAATATTAACTTTTTCTTCATCAATTTTGTAGTACCCAGTCACTTTAAACAAGTACATAAAATGCAAAAAGCCCTTAAATGTTTCTATAGACAAACTGTTTATTTGTTCATTCTTATTTTTCAAGATAGTAACTGATCAGAAATAAAAATCATGTCCTGGGGATAACTGACAGGAAAAATAAAACAAAGTACATATAAAAATCTAGGAATGTGGTAGTTATAGTTGGAAACATGGAATAGTGAATAAAAGACAAGAGTGATACTATGATGAATTTTTAAAATAAGGCCAGTATAATGCATTTAAAAAAAAAAATGAGAATACCAAAGAAAATTTCAAACACTAATAGAATGGCAACCCTTTGCTGAAAGTGCTCTATCAGTTTATTCTCTGCAACTTAAAGCAAGAGTAAGAACCCTCTGGAAGTCAACAGAAAAAAGTAACAAATGTTTCAAGGGTTATTTAAGTTCTATAAGAAGGAATTAAAATTTCTGTGGCAAGAACAGGCTCCTGGTGGTACTTCAGATACTTGAAAGTGGCATTTTATCCAAGACCCCTGCATCTCACCCTAACTTTCTTCTCACTTTTTACATCTTTACAATGTTCAACTCCCTGTGGGCATCCTTCAGCCATTAGGGTATTTGTGAGTCTAAAAATTTGTAACAAGAATTAGCAAAGGAACAGTGCAAAGTATTATATGGAAAAAGAATGCAACTTCTAGGCAATCCTTACTTAAAGGATTGAAAACTCCTGTCCTGTGTCTAATTCTGAAGTCATGTATGTTTGAAATGCCTACAAACATTGCTATTCCTACCTAAAAATATGAAAGGTTAATAAACCCTAAGGGCTTCTGTTTAGCAGAGTGATAGACCAAAGAGGTTGTCTACAGACCCTACAGAAAAGCCAGGCTCACAGTGATTCTCAAGGAGGGGAAGCTGTGTTTTTTCTGGAGAATTGTTGCTAGAATCACTCTTACCATTCTTTAACTGCCTTCTGCCTACAATAAGAGTCTACTGATAGGAACAGGTAGACTGAGATGATCAGAGAGGGAAAGGGAAATACTGCTCTTCCAAAGGGAAAGAAAACACCCAATCTGAAAGGTTCAAGTGTACAAATTTACAAAGAAATAACTAAATAGAAAAGACAAGGATCAGTTTTTCAGAGCAGTAAAACTAAAATAAAATCTTCAAGTAATAAATGAAAAGAAGGGGCAACACAACTCTAAATATTATGATCTGACAGCTTTTCTTATACACTGACCAGTAATATTTCTAGAGATGACTTACACATATCCATTCTGTGTTCAAAGAGGCACCAACCACAGCCTATGACATCTCAAATTACTAAAATAACAGTAGCTCAAAGTATATTAAATGTTTTCCAGATGCACAGATAAACTTTAAAGTTCCTACATGCTACAATGCTTTCCTTAGTAAATATCATAACATACTTTTATTTCATAGAGAAATTGTGAATCAACATTTAATGCTACAATTTTAATTAAAGTTCTACCATCAATTGATGTAAAACATACACTTGTCAAAATTTCCTAACAGTATTAAAAAATTAAATTAAAAAAACACACTGGCCAATTTTTGAAAAGGAAGAAAATTATCTCCAAAGGCTCATTTTTATAACATCAAACCTTTTGAGTTAGTCTTGAGTATACTTTAATATTCATAAACACACTTAGATTGGCCTAAAAAGCAGCTTCATAATAAAATAACTACACAATACATAATATCATTGATATACCCCTTTTCTTTCTTAAGAAATTGCCAGAATGAAGTTTTGTATCACCCTAAAAATCTAAGTTTTACTTATTATATAAAATTTTAGAAATGATTATTCACAGTTTATCAGCATCATTACAGCAATTTAATTAGAAAAACTCATTATTTATTTCTAGGAATGAGGACTTGCTATCATTAAACATGAACCTGAGGAGACAAATGGGAATTTCCACGTCATAAATTATTTTATCCGGAAAGTATGGGTTTGCCTAGCTGCACATAAGCACCCAGAGGGCAACAACTGTAAGGACTAAGACTTTCTGAGACTCTCCCTTTGAGTTCCCAGTGCTCTTTCAACAACCATTCAATGCATAAAACTAAGAAGATGGCTCTGATTGTGCATTCCTTCTTAAGACATCAAAATACATACTGAAATTGTAGTTACTGGTAAAGCCCCACTGCCCCAGGCACCTACCCAGTGACATAACTATACCCAATGCTGGGACACTGTTCAAGAGAAGCAGCAAGCTATCTGTGATCAATTTTGCTTACTTCACAATTAAGTATATACTGTAATCCAAACAGCCTCAACCTTCCAGGCAACAACAGATTTATTAAAGGTGCCATTTCTAAAGCTAAAAATTTCATTTGCTAGAGATGCTCTTGGAAAATGAAGATTTTTAAGTTAAAAGATAATGAGCTAAACCAAAAGTCATCTCATTTAAATGAGTGCAGGTTGATTTTAAATACATGAAATACTATTAAAAAAATTACAAATACTGGGTTTCTGGGTTAATAACCTTATTAGGTTTTATCTTCTGTTCAGCTGAAATAGTTCTTTATACATTATATCTTCAATAAGTATAAATACTGTTAACAATCCTTCAAAACAAAATGCTTTTACTATGTCGAATGAATCATATTTGGATACAAAAGAGGGGACTTTTATAATAAAAATGTAGACAAACTATAAAGATTACAAAGTAAAACAACAGTAAGAACAAAACTTTAAAGACAAATGTTTTGTGTCCATAAGAGCTTTCACAACCATAAGCAAACAGCAATGCATCTTACCTCTATCATTATATGAAAGGCGTGCTTGTGAAGAAAAAACACAGGCAAAAGAAATTACGATTCATATTCAGAATGAAATGAAAAATGACACATCAGTTACAAAGGTGAAAGAAAGGATGAATTAGCTTTTTAAAAGTTGACAATGACTCAATGGATTATATTTTTAAGACAAGGATTAAGAACACTTTCCTTATAACCAGAAGAAAGAATTATTTAAAAAAAAAATAAAAAAAATGCTTGAATATCACCTAACAGGTGTTAATAAATAAATTTTGATGCTAAAATAACTCCAAATTACCTGATCAAATGGGCTTCAAAGCCAGCAAGTAAAATAAATTTTAAGTTATTACTTGAAAAGGTTTTAAGTCTAAGCATAACCAGGCAATTGAAATGGGGAAGATGGGAGCTGAAATCGGCTTCTGAACAGCAGAGGGCAGTATTGCCTTTAAAAAAAAAAAAAAAAAAAAAAAAAAAAGCAGCACAAAACAGCGAGAAGAAATCCAATTCTCAGACCAGGGTTTCTAACAATGTTCATGGGTGTGTGCATACATGTATAGGAAGATGTGCAAGAAGGTTAGGAGGCAACCTCGGAAGTCATTCCAAACGTGTCATTTCCCACTGGCCTGGAACTCTTCAAGATAGCTAGGTGAGCCTGTAAATCTCAGGAACCCACCTGGGATTACAAATCCCTCCAGTGCTGGGACTGCTAACATGCACCATCACACCCAAACTGCCTTTTTTCTCATTTCTTCTCCTCTCTCTCTCTCTCTCTCTCTCTCTCTCTCTCTCTCTCTCTCTCTCTCTCTCTCGTGAGTTCTAAGGATTAAATGTGCTTGTAAACACTTTGTTGGTTGTAAAGTCACTCCAGCTCTAGTTTTTTCACAGCTTTCATAAAAGCCTCTGAAATTTCCTACTTCCAGCAAGTGAATTACCTCACTCACCTTTCTAGAAAGCAGTAGGATCATAGAGTAAAACAAAACAAAACAAAACAAAAAAAAATTATGCTCTTGGTGGTTTTGTGTGTGCTCAGGAAAGACAAACTAGGAAGAAAACACAAGAGGAAGAACGATGGCCAGAAAACCTGGTGACAAACTTGGCCTGTTGTAAACTTCCCTGCCCACATGTAGCAACAAGAATAAATCAAAATAGATCCTAACAGAACAGCATTCAGATGACTTAGTTCTTACTTCCAATTAGGAATCTGTTAGCAGTTCAAAATACAATTTCAGTATTATAGTACCTTTAAATTTAAGAGGAATATAACAACTGAGTAAGTAGTAGTGCCCTGGAAATGAGTATCCAGACACGTTTCTCACAGCCTGAAAAGATTCACAGAGTAATAGAGAACAAGTCACTCCTAAAGAGCTAACTGATAGAATTTTAAATTGAGTAAAATATATGTTAGCTAATGCTAAAGAGTTTTGAAAACTCCAGATGCCACTATTTCTACAGAGAACAGTGCCACTAGCAAACAGAAATGACAACCCACTTATCTGTACCAGTGGTTTGCTGGATTTTCATCCTGTGATAATCATCCAGTACTATTCATGATCCATCAAAAAGCTAGCTTAATCCTACCATACCATGAGAGAACCTTGGCATTACAGAATACGGTCCCTCTCTTACACAAGAATCACTGAAATCTTCTTTAAACATAAGAACTTTCAGAGATAAAGATGTCAGTGCAAGTAAATGTTACTTCTAATCATAGAAAGTATTATGCCTACTCAGTAAATTTCCTAATGAACATCAGAATAAGCTATATACCCAAATCAAAATGAAGATTAAAAAAGATTTAATGTGGTAAGAATGGGTAATACAAAAACCAAATAATAATAATAATATTAATAATAATAATTCATAAACAAATTTTAAGTATATATTTTTAATATACTTCTCCACAAATGACCATTAGAACAAACCAAAAGACACAAGATAAACCAGAGGCATCAACAATAAGCTTCTTTAATTTGTTACAGTATATGCAATCAAAACAATCAAAGGAAATTCCTGGTTATCCATACAAACAGATAAAAGCTCTCCAAACAAATCAGTCAATCAGCACTCACAAAATGGAAAGGTGGCTGACTTTAAGTACTCCCCACTGTAACTATAAAACTAAAATTCAAATCAGTACCTTAATGCCAAGAAATCAGGTTTCCAGGTTAGAAACACACTTGCTGCTTATCAAGAAGGAATGAAATTACTGCCAAACATCAGAAAAGAATATAGTATTTCATTCACCCATTCATTTATTCACTCATTCAAACAAGTTTACTGATTGCCCTGTTTGTGTCAAGTACTAACTGCTCAGGCTTTCATGAACTTTACAGCAGATGGACCAATTGATAATTTGCATTAACAAATGCATAATTAAAAGCTAACATCAGTAGAAAGGAAGTAACTAACTTGAGTATCTCTAAGATATCGAACTTATTACTCTGCCTAGGTTTTCCCTGAAGAGAGCACCCTGGAAAAAAAAATGAAGCAGTAAAGGGGACTGATGAGAATGAAACATTGGACATATCCTTGATTTTAGGTTAACAATCACACAGACAACTGCTGCATTTATTGGAAACCAGGTTTGGAAAAGTCAATCATCATTCTTGAATGGGAAGTACCAAGACACATCTAAGTGAAACTATCTGGTAGGCAGATCAAAGAAATCATTCTAGAAATAGTGACTTTTACATACTATTCATAAATACACATTTAACATGTACTGCAACTTTCTTTATAGTTTAACCCCTCCCCTCTACCCACACAAGACAATCATAAGTGTATCTAATTTGGCAGAGAAGTAGTTTCCATTTATACTTATTTTTTGACTTCACACTCAACAACCTCTTACAACTATCAAGTGTCCATACTATGTGAAAACTGACAAATTCTGAATGTGTCTCCTCTTAGTCACCTAATCATCATATATTCTTAGAAATGTCACAATTCTTCATTTTTTAGATTATCAACAGCAAGAACAGAAATAAAATCCATAAAGAAATTAAACAGTAACAATGTTTCTGAGCTAGATAAAAGCAGGCATATAGTAACAGATTAATAAACCTATAATGTCAAATGCTCAGCCATGGCTGGCTCTATTAATTAGATCCCAAGATTCCTTATAGTTTTTCTCATGGTACTTTTCCTGAAAACATAAAACATAATACAAAGTACATAATAAAGACTCTGAACAGACTCCCTAAGCTGTTAGCAGCACAGGGCAGCCAGTGCTGGGGTACACAGTCTTCTAAGAGATGTAGGCAAAGCCCATTCTCCTATTAGCTGCTGTTCAAAAGCTTGAGGGTTATGATTAGCTATATAGAAAAGTTACTTCTGGTTAACATTGATAATCTCTAAGAGAAGATGAAAGAATGAAAACGGATGTGAGAAAATATTTAACTACAAGCCTGTCCAGGCACAAATAAAATCTATATTCAATATGAGGCAGTAAACTCTACTCAGTTTTCCTTAATGTAGTTTTTTATAGACTCCATCAAATTATTGAAATATGCTGTTCAATCAATGAACAATAATTTCTAAATAAAAGCCCAGGCATTGCCACTTGGGACAGAATTGTAAGTCCGGTCACTTAACCTATGAGTGGCCCAATTTTTTCATCAATATAATCAACTTGCTGTAACAAATATTTCAGAGTATTATATCAGTACAATATGAATGAAAATTATTTCTTTTGAGTCAAAGCTTCAACAGAAAAGACAATTACAGCAGTTACTGAGCAATTTAACACTGGCCAACACCTCAAATAACAGTGCTTTTAGGACTACAGAATGTCAATCAGATCTTTCTTCCACTGGCCACTCCCTGCATAATCTCTTTACCTTCATTTCCAAGTGGCAAAGTTAAATGAACAGCTTGTTTTCATTTTACCCTCATGGAACTGTGAGCCCCCAGAGGGCAAACAGGGCCCATCCTAAACCTGTACTAGGTAACATGCATAGTGCAGGGCTCAGAGCAGATTTGTAACCACCAAGACAAAGGTTTACCAAAAACAAAAAGGCAGCCCATAGTATTTATTTTATTAACAATGAACTTTCCTATTTATATTTCAAATGAACAGAAAAGGGTTTAAAAGGGTTTTAGAGCTAGTAGTGAAGAAAGACATCTAGGATAATACCCAGGAAATGAAGATGAAGCAGAAAAAAAATTGACCTTTTTTTTAAATTTTTCCCTTTTTGATACAACTTTCTAAATAATCTGTGTCCATACAGCATAGTTGTTTCAAGCAGAAGAGGGAAAAAAATTAATAAATTCTAGCCATTAATCAACCCATCTAATTGTTGTGTTAACAGCTACCTCTATGATTGAAACATTTCATCCTGCAAGGAAATTCCTTGAACAGGAAAGCAAACAACTCAAAGGAGCATCAAGAAGTCCCTGAAACTGACCAGATTCACTAGGCCCCTCTCTGCCAGAGTAAGCAATAAAGCTGAGAGTCCCTCATAAACCTAACAAGCCAGGCTATAAGGAAGACTTAAGAGCAAAAACTGTAAGGAAGAAGCAGACCAGACCAGCTACCTAGAGGAAGCAGGTGTCAGTAGAGCTACCAGGAAGAAGCTTACAACAGAGCCACTTGGAAAAGACTTTCTCCAAGTGCCTGCAGGCTGTGTGGTGCACTCCACATTCCCAACTTTTGTGAGCTGGTGCCCTTTGGCGATGCAGCTATCGTTGAGTCATTTTTGCTAAATAACATGTCACCCATGTAAGTAACAACAATAAAACTGGTGGTTCACTATATTACTGTACCTAATCCCAATAAAACTCATGGTTCACCAAACGGGACTTTGGTGGTATCCAATATTGTGGTCTATCATGGTATTCCTATTTAAGGTAGACATGTGTGTTGAATCTCCCCAAAAAAAGTTTTGTCACACATTACTAATTCAAATTGGATCAGACCTAAAGACCTCCTTCCTTTTGTCCAGCTTCCACAGTCCCAGAAAAATCCTATGCAAGCCAAGGCAGGAAAGCAATTAATTCTACCCAGCTGTGACTCCTATGAACCA